CTCCGATTTCTTGGCTACCGTAAGCTATTTTGTAATGATTTTTTGGGGATAACACAAACTGCATCACTGGCTTTAAAAAGGTAGACTGGTTTTATTAAAAAATAATTAAATTTTTGGCACGTTTGACTAACTGGCATTTTCAGTCAACCTCCAATTTCGGGGTTACCTTATGATATTGGTAATAATGTTTTCGGGATCATACAAATTGCAAAACAATTCTTCACTTCTTACCAGTTTTTATCTAAAAAATTGATTGATTCGTTTCAGTGACCCTAGGGTAACTGTAATTTTTGGAACTTTCTGAATTTCTGATTTTCTCTAACTTTATCTATTTTTCGTTTTCTGTTCCAGGACGTATTGCTTCACCATTAATTCCATTAAAAGTCGTTTTTTTTTGGATACCCGGTTTAGCTGACGATTATCAGAAGAGAACGCAACAAAGTGAATCGTCATGGGCGAAAAGCCACAGACGGGTCGTCGCGAATCATCATCCGGTCATCTCCTCATTCGTGCACCACCTATTATTTGTCTGTCATGCGAGGATCTCGATGCACATCAAGTATGCTAAAATATAAATATTATTTTGAACTAGCCAGGTTGCTATTTTCGAGGGTAACTGCATTATTTTTGGCTCTAAGGATTTCTAAAAAATTTTTGAAGCGGCGAAGCTATCTCTTGCAAACCAGTTTATGATTTTGCAGGGTAAAATTATGGCTTCATAAGCTTTTTAGATGTTTAACGCGGCGAAACTATTTCTTGCTAGCCAGTTTGTGACATGCGAGGGTAACTGAATCATTTATTGGGTATTATTTTAGTTTTATTTCTTTAAGTACTTTTGTGTGGAACGTGCCGATTTCTAGTCGGACAGTTTGTAGTTTCCGAGGGTAACTGAATCCCTTTTCGCTCTCTGAAATCGTGTGGATTTGAGATTAAGCGCTACGACAAGTACTTGGCCCAGCTGACAGCAATCTTACAGCTTAGGGGAAAATGGACGCGCTAAAATGGAAAACAGCTTACAGTACTCGAGCCGAGATCGTTTTTTGGAGGCAGCGACTTATCGATCCTCATTGAATTTTGCCTTGTGATTTTCCATTTTTCAGCGCTCCTAGATTTTTATTTTCGCTGATCGTAGGCCAGTGAATTCATTCTACCTATTTTTGAATACGTCAAAAGTCAAAACCCTTGAAAAGCGAAGTGCATCTCAACTGTCAATCAAAGCATCTGTTTTTCACGCGAACACATCATTTTCGAGCAAAGAGAAAAAGGGCGTAAGAAGTCATTTATCATGACACGCCATTCCCTGGGTTTTTGAGGTCCGCCCACTGGGTCCCAGTGAGGCTTTTCTTTGATTTGTAAGTAGAGGTCTTTGCTTTGTTGTCAGCCGGTATTGCTCCTGAAGGCCACTGCTTTTAACTTCAAAATTTTGATCTGGAAATATTATAAAATTCTGTTGTTTTTTTTAATTCGGTGACCTTCCATCTGGATGTTATTTTTCCTTCCAGCTGCCCTCTTCTCCAACTTTTTGCCCTCATTTCTTTTCCAAGAGATATAATAAGTTGTACTGCCCTGCAGCCGATCCATTACACACCAAATGGTACCCAGAACCCCCCTTCCTTCAAATTACTTCCGCCAATTCCCTGGCTTTTTCTTCGAAGACCACAACTAAAAGAAAGCAATAGGGCATTCGGGGGTGGAGAAGCTTCGGCTTCTTCTTGGCTTCTTCTTTCCCTTCCGATCTCTTCATCTGTTCCGCTGGCCATTCAGTTACCTCCTTCTTGTTTTCAACGGCTCCCGATAAAATTGGCACCTCGAAGGGGGAGAGGACGGCTTCGTTTCTGGTTTACTGGTTGTTGTTTCGACATATTTGGCTTTTCGAGCTCAGCTTCGTCGATTTAAAAAAATAACAATTCAGTGACCCCCAAACCAGTGACCTCCAAATTCAGTGACTTTATCCTCAAAATGCCATCAAATGACCTATCCCGCAATTTCTAAAGAAATTTTGTTGTCCAGAGGCCTTCCTGTTATCCATCCCGCCCGCCAATTTCATCTCGTAACATTTTGGAAGTATTTGTGGCTTCGCGAAAAACCCTTCTCATAACAGTTTATCTCCCAGATCTCCGTTTTTTCCGTAATTACGAACACACCTCTCTTTCCCCTTCTCTTTTCTGGCCGGAGATCGATTACATTTTTAATCGGAGGCCAGTGTGTGTGGTGTGTGGGTCCTTAGTGGGTCTCTCTCTCTCTCTCTCTCGCTCTTTGGCCCTATGGCTTTTCCAAGGGACCCCAAATTGACTTCTCTTTTCCTTTTCTAGAGGTATGGCCATGCCCACATCCGCATCTTTCATATCCGCCCTCACACCATACGCCCATAGCCCAGGCTGAATTGTGTTGGCTGGGAGACAGTGGATGCTTTGCCTTCACTAGGCCTTGAAAATAGAATATTTCTAAGTTTGTATGGTCGATTTGCTTAAACTGGCATGAGATTTTACTTTTCTGAATTTTTGAGCTAATTATGACTCCTTTTCAATTCAGTGACTTTTAGGTGCCAGATTTTTGCCTTGTGTTTCGCCAGTTAATCTTTATTGGCTGTATGTGTGTCTGTGTGAAGTGTGGAGTTCTGTCAGTCGATCCCTTCCTTCCAGGCAACGCTAATTTATCCCCCAAAACGACGGGCCGACCCTCCTTGGAGACTTGAGAACTGAACTCTTTTTCGCGAAAAACTCGCCCTAAAAAGTTATTTACTGGTCGCTAGGAGTCAAATCCCACGTCGCCCCATATTTTCGGAGCTATTTTTGGGTTTTCTGAACGGCAACGCGTAAACTGGTTGTCAGTCGGAATTTTTGGAAATGACGAGATTTTTTGTTTGGATTTAGTTACCTTTTGCGTTAAAGGGCGATGCTCTAGATTTTGCGGCACCGCGCACGCTGTCTGACAGCGGTGAAGATACTGTAGTTCATTGAATCGTCTAATCAAAATCGAAATCGGACGCGTGTGTTGCGTGTCGCGGCGAAAAAATTGGAAAATCCCGTTTTTAGCCTAAAAATCTTGAAAATCCATCATAATGACTTATTCATGCCTTTAACTGCTCAAAAATCTATCCAGTTTTTAGTTTTTGAAGTGACAACTCTAATCTGACCACCAACGAACACCGGAAGTAGGGGGCTTAACCCCGCAAATTCTCTGCCCCGGAAATTGCACGCAGAAAAATGAAAAATTCAGATGTATGGAATCTGTGAGGGGGAAGCACTTCTAGCAACCCGCTTCCCCCCTTTCCTCAAAACCTCAAAAATGGGTCTTTTCTGGGGCGTGTGAAGGGGTCCTTCCTTTCCTTTTCCTTTCCATTCCATTCCAATACACATACCTTTTCACTCCCCCACTCTTTTTTGACAATTCCCACCTAGTAGCTACCTAGATCTCTAGCCAGCCTGCCAGCCAGTGTTTCACTTCCGTTTTTAGGCGCCTAGCGGAAAAATGGCTTTGTTGGCCTTTCCATAAATAGACTTCCTGTCAGTTAGGTGATGGAGAAGCCACTGATTTTTTAGAATTTTCGGTGTTTTTCCTTAATATTTTTTTTTCAATGGCTGTCGATTTGTCAAACAGTGATCTACCAGAGAAAAATTTATGTAGAATTTTTGGGCTAAAGCTCACCGAATTGATAAGATTGGGTCGTTCGTTTCGTGTTCGGCGTTTTTGGGATCCAGTATGGGCTGACCTTACAAGTTTTGGGTTTAAAAACACTAGGAACCTTTCTAGCAGGAAAGCTATAGATTACACAACACAGTTCTGTGAATTTTGCTGTATAGGTCCTCTCCACTGAATTTTCTATGGTCCAAACAATTTTTAGTTTTTGATCGACTTTATTAGGATCCAGTATGGCCTGTTGGCGGTTTTCGGTTTTAACGGGACTGGGAACCCTTCAGGCAGCAAATCTATGGATTGGCATAGTTCCAAAGATCTGCAGTGCAGGGAAGTGGGTCCAAGCTTTTGAATCGAGATTCCGGAACACTACCTTTTTACGGGGTGATGGCAGGCAGTGTGGAGAGAGAGCGAGAGAGAGAGAGTGAGCGAGAGAGAGAGCAGCTAGCAGCGGTGATTGAGGATTCATGCCCTTCGCCCCTTCGCGGACATCTGAATTGCATCGAAAAGGGACGGGCCGAAGGGGATGGAGATATGGAATGGACCACTAGAGAAGGTCGCTCTCTCTACTAGAACACCCCTCCTCAACATGCCATAACCGTTTCCGACACCGACCAGAAGGATCTTTTATGAACCCAACAAATCCTTCCCGTTCCCCCAGCTCAATTCATCGACCGTTTGGAGTAATTTGGCGTAATTGGCCTGGGCCTCGCCTATTTTCCCTTTTTTGATTTATTGAGCCGGGAAATCTGTTTGTCTGCCGATCTGTCTGTCTGTCTGTCGATCAATCCCTCAATCTGACCGCCTATTGTGCCTCTCGGACTAAGGCCCCTCGAAATAGCCGCCCTGTAACTTTTCCATTTTGGGTGAGGGTAACTGATTTAGACGGCGTCGAGGGGTTCTATTTTGGATTAGTTGAATGCTATTTGATGTTCATTACAAAACAGTTTACACGCTAGCGCAATCTGAAAGTCGCGCCGTAGATACCCATTAGTCGAGGGTAACTGATTACACCTAGCTCAAAATTTTAATTCTTCCAGAATACGCTTTTGTTATTAAATTCCGCTTCATCCAGATAACGCTCTAATAACCTCGTCTCACACTATATACCTACCGTAACCCATTACCGTATCCCTAATTCCACAGAATGGCAGCCGTCTCTCGTCCTCTCTCAGATGTTGAGAGTGAAACTGAAAAGCCAGAAGAAGGAGAAACAGAAGAGATACCGGTAGAAGATGTCGCCTTCTCCCTGTCGCGTCGTCTTCGAGGAGAACTGGGTGTAGCTTCATCTTCTCTTCGTACAGTCGGCCCTCCATCTGGTCGTTTCAATCGTAGAGGACCTCCTCTTGCCCAAATGAGTCTCGATGAGACATCTACTGCTCGACATTCTACTAACTGCTCTGTAGGGTCATCGGAAAATTCGTGTTTGACGGGAGGAATAATCGTTTGGAAAATGTGAAAATTTTCATAAGGGTGCTTTGGATATTTTCGGCAGCTTGGGATCCAGTAAGCACTAAAAACGGTTAAACTCAGTTTGAAAGTTGAGCCTGGCCGCCAGATAGCCTGAAAAGCAAGTTGGCTACAATTCAGTAACATCCCCAAAAATTATCTTTTTTCAGTATCGCAGCCGGAAGCGACGAGCGGGCATCTGTTCGGGAACAACGACTGCCGGCGCATTTGCTAGCAATGGAGGGCCCGGACACAACAGTGCTGGTCAGTTCAAACATTAAGTCCGGAAAAATGAATGCTGTAGTTTCTAGTTCTTACTGGAGGCCATTTTATACGTAGAGTGGCTCTAAGGGAAACTGGATGGCATGCATTTTATTTTTCCGCGCGCGAGATGCGACGCGCTTGCAGTTTTTATAGTGTAATCCATTACGCGATGGTAAACCGATCACCTACGCGGGGCGCCAAAATCTAAAACCTCTAAAATCCACCATGCCTTCCCAGTCCCTTTAAAATATTGCGATTTCGTGTTCTTTGGGCCCATTTTCCCTCCAGTTTCTTAAAAAAAACTCGCCCCTATTGAATAGGGCAATTTCCGGTTGTGTGGCTTGGTATTTCTCTGTCTCTCTGTCTCTCTCCCTTCTTTCTGCCATCCAGGGGTCCCGTTGTGAAAGTTGTCGGGCCCCCGGCCGAAATCCAAAAATGCAGTCATTCGGTTGATTTTTGAACATGTAAACTTGATGCTTGTCTGGCAGCTTAATTTTTTGGCTACTCTGGGTCGAAAAATTTCCTAAAAACACTCTGCTAGCTTACTAGCAGAAAGCTAGCCACGTTGCTCTTTTTCACACTGAATTCTTGCTAGAACAAATCTCTAAAAATTTTTGCTGGCTCGCCTGTCTGCCAATTTCACTTTTCAAGAAGCCAAATCCGGAAATTTCCCAAAGAATCTTTGCTAGCCTACCATCCCACCATTTGCAGGCTACGGTTCTGGTGGTGGCCGTCCTCAACTCGCCGGCCGTTCTCCCCAATCCTCCTTCGATTCCAATGGTGATGTCGCACAGGTTGGTACCCAAATCGTTTAAAAATTTAAAAGAACAATTTTGGCGATTCAAAAATGTCTAAAATTTCAGATCTCGCTAAACTGGATGCGTGTGAATGGGGCGATGGCTCCTTTCAAGGGGATATTACAGAACAATAATGTCCACAATAAGGTAGGATTTTCGGAGTCACTGAATTTTTTTAGCAGCTTTTGAGGCGTTAAACTTCTATAAACTAGGCAGTCAGGCACCAGACAGCATAAAATATGATCTTGTTGGGGTTCAAAGGGCCTAGACAAGGCAGGGTTATGGATTTTGTTTCGCATACTGCTAGTCTTCGTCAGTCGGGGGTTAATCGATTACACAATTGAATTTTCGCCACGCTCATTGTGTCCCGGAGAGCAACAGACAAAATCTATAGGAAATCTATCACGGTGCCTTGCCGGGGCCCTTTAATGAACATTTTTTATATATTTTAATGCTATATCTCTTTTCAGTCGTCTCAATCGTCCCTCTACCTCAATCGTAATGACAGTCTCCGAAAAATGCATCAAAATGCCTCGAGTCTCGATAGTCGATTACGCGATGATTGGGGTCAGTTCTTTTCGACATATTTTTCCTTTAAAAATTCAAGTATTGCATTTTTATCACCGGGTAGTGTGCTGGCAGCAAAATTTACTGAAAAAAAATTCTTCAATTTTTATTGTTCGATTTTTTTCGGCGATTTGTGTTAATTGACTCTCAATTTGGCTAACAGTGCAGAAATCCAGCCAGATCGTGAAAAATGAAGTGAAAAGTGAAAAAGCCCGATTGTCGGGCAGGGGTCACTGAATTCTAAATTCGTGGCGATCTTACCTACAGTCAAATTGGATAGCCCAAAATATCGACAAACAGACAGATTGAATGCCAATGAATTACGAGCAGACAGACAGAAAGACAGACAGACAGACAGACAAACAGACAGACGGACAGACGACTAACCCCTTTAGCCCTCTACCTGGGCTCTCCCGGCAGTCCATAATGGCCCCTTCCCCTCTCTCCTCTTGTTTTTGTGTATCCGGTGGTTGGATATATGTATATTGTGTGGTCACTAGACCAAAGCCCATCGACCTCCGCCCTACTCCATTCTTATACTACTAGTTTTCCCCTTCACTGGCATTAATTTTCGTAAATAGCAGATTCACTGAATTTTTTGTTAGTTGATTCCTGGGTCCCAGATGGCACATTGCGCCATTTTTCTATGTCATGTGGCTTGTAAATTGTAGATTGCCCACCACTTTGGCAAATTCGCTAGTCGGGACGCCGGAGGTTACGGTAGCGATGCCACAATTCAGCTTTCGTAAAGATTTTCCAAGCTGCAATTCGTTGACCTGCTATTTCGCTTTTTTTTGAAGGGTCACTGATTTACCCATTAATTTTATTACTTAACTGGCCTGTAATTTGTAGTTTGGGCGTGGTTTTTATGAAAATTTGCCTTCCTGGATCCCACCGATTACGGTAGCCAGGCCGTAATTTAGCAGCCAAGGCTATTTGCCAGCCTCTAATTCAGTGACCCTGTTCTGGGAACTCTCTCTCTATTCAGTTGGACATTAGTCTTCGACCCCCGTTGTTCTGCAACTGGCACGTCCACTCCTCCCTCCCTCCCCTATTTGCTACCCCTTTTCCAATGAATATTTTTAGTGGCTGTGTCATGGCTGAAGAACGCGACTCCAACAACACCCCTAACCCCCACCTTCAACTCTATTTAGCCTTTCGAAACTAATTGAAATTTTGTTAAAAGTTAATGGCTTCCAGAATTGAGGAATTGACAGTCGGTTTGACAATTTGACAATTAAAGGGTCCGGAAAGGCAGGCTTTCGAAAATCAACAAATCGTTAGTCAGTCTGACAGTTTAAAAGCTTAGCAACTCAAAAATCTTTAATTTTCTATAATTACGCCCTATTTTGGTGGTGAACGTTTTTAGTATTGTCTCGTATTCTGTCGCGCTATTCTTTCCCATTCCCGCATCATTCCCCCCCCGTTACAAATGTCATTAGGCGCTTGGCGGCCGGGTCTGTTTTTGTCCGCCGGCCACTTTTCGCTATTATTCGATTCTTTGGGCCTCGAATCGGCCGAACCATGGCCCCATAAGCCCAACTGGCTGTCGTGTTCGATTTTCCAAGGGTTTGTGGGGCTATAGCAAGGGTTTACTGGGGAATTCGGGTGTCAGTTGACTCAACTGACATACGCTGCAGGGTTTTCTTAGGTTTTGCGAGCTCTAGCAGTATATATTGTGGAATTTCGGTGCCATTTAGTTCAACTGGCAGGCATTTTAGAGTTTTACTCAAGTCAGAAGCCATAGCAGCGATCCATGAGGAATTTCCGGTGTCAATTAGTCCAACTGCCAAGCTTTCCTCAATTTCCAAGCATTCCCCCGCTTTTCCTAGCTTTTCCCAGCCATTTCCCCACTCCATTTTGATCTCCGCTTTCGCACGAAAATACAAATCCCCCTTTTTCTGGATTATTTTTGGCCGCGGGGCTGGCCGTGAGAATCCCCTCTACGTCCCAGTTTTCCAGCGTCAACACGGGGTGCGTCGGAATTTTTTGCCGGCTCTCCCAAAGAACCCCCGTTGCAAATTGGTCTGCGCCAGATGTAACCCCGACGAGTAACTGATTTTCTGGGGACCAGTTTGCCATTTTTAAAAGTTAAAACAGCCCCTTCCCCCGAACTGATCGACTTTTCGACCTAACTGCCAGACGCTGGACCCATTACGAGAGTGGCCTTGCCTCAGGCCTTAGTTGGCCCCCATTTTAATGGCCCTTTCATATATCCTCTTAATAGAATGCATGGTGGGTCACTGAAATGGGGGTAACTGAAAGACTGAATGGCCGCGTGCCTTCCAAAGGTAATTAGCCAGTTGATGCTCCCTTTTGGTCGGCGAGTCTCCATTTCGGGGGCTCCTCCTCCTCTTCCTTCTGACATTTCATCCAACCCATCCCCCCATCCGTTTTTCCCTTTTCCAATATTGCCTTACAACTCGACCACTGGCTGTTTACTACCCCCTAAAAGTCACTTTTGCGCTTCCGTGTCTATTTCTGAAATTTGGGAACTTATTTTTTTGAAATATCTGACTGATTAAAGGACCATTGAAGCCAACATCTCTAGGGAATAATTGAAAAATTTTTGCCTACATTTCAGCCACCAGGGCAGGCTAGCAGAGCTTTTTTTACAGCGCGAAAATTCGAATATTCCGAAGATCGTTGAATTTCTGAAAGCCAGAGTCCAAGAATTCCGACCGCTTTCGGCAATATGCCCTCCCCCACTTTCACGTGGGCCTCAACCTCCCCCATTTTCCGCTTCATCCCCCTTTGGACGACTTTTGGTGTGTTCGGCATCGCCCAACAACTTGATTCAGCTCGTTTTTCGCACTACATCGAAGTCCCCGGTTGAATTCAGTGACTTTTTGGCGGCCAGTTCGAGCAGTTCAAAGGTTGTAGCGTTATTTTCTCGTCAAAATGTTAAACTACCTTCCTTACTCGTCAATTTGATTATTGGCTCTGGCAAAAAGTAACTAAGCACGTCCGGGCATTAAAGACTGATCAGTCTTCCTGGCAAGATGGATTAGTGTTTGAATACTTTTATAATTATCTTACAAGTCAGTTTAGCTATTGACATTTTCAAAAATCCAATTAGCATATCCGCGCACTAATGGCTTATGAAACTGCCTGCCAGCTGACCTGATCCCGGTCTATTTTCCCCTCCTTCCTTCTCCTCCTTCTCCTCTCAATTAACCGGGACACCAGAAATTGAGCCCGCATGGAGAAGGGCCTCTCGATTGGCAGAATGCCAATAAGCCTCTCCTCTCTTCTGCCTACCCGTCATTCGTATTCTATTGGAATCGTGTGCTCCTTCTCAGGCGATCGAGCTATTCGAGTGCTACGCATCTTTTGCCTACACCTAATTAGTGTCTGCCAGCCAGTGGAGGTCACTGATTTCTAAATTTTTGTTTTTAGATACTTTCCAAATTTTCTTTGCGGAACTACTGTATTTTCAGCCAGCTAGCTGAACTCACTGTTCGTAGTTTGTAGCATAATGGGGAATACCGGCTAAAACCCGGCGTCACCGATTTTAAATTTTCATCTTACTCATTTTTCATTTTTTCTTTGAATAAATTATCGTAATTTCTGCCAATTAGCAAGGTAAATACACGTAGTTTGTAGCCGAACGGAAATGCCGCTCCATTCCTCCCCAGCCACCCCCCTATAGGCCATAAAAAGGGCGTTATTTCCGTGGTAATCGGAGCCCGAAGGCTCACTAGTTATGAAATATCAAATCTATCGTTTCTCTCCCTCTCTCTCACTCTCTCTCTCTCTCTCTCTCTCCCTCTCTCTCTTCTGCCATCCACTTTGTAATGTGAAACCGATACCAGAAGCGGACACGCTTTCCGCTTCTTTTTGTGGTCATTCTTTCTGTTGAGTGTCAGATTGGCCATCTACATATATCCCTTCCCCGCCAAAATTCCTCGAATATTTTAAACTGAATGGTAAATTAAACTCATCAATCCTCTGATTGCCATCCAGCCTACCGTATCCTACTAGAAAATTTATGCCCCCAATATTGTGGCAGTAAATTTGTGAGGGTTGCTGAATTGTAGATGGCGTTTTTAAAGGGAGCGTGACAGCTAGAAAGTGCGGTTTTTGGATTATTTCGAACTGCCAACCAGACAATCGGATTTCAGCCAAAACCTAGCCCTTCCTGGTACAATTCACGACTCTTAGCGTTTTTAGTACAATCCTGATGTACCGGAAATGACTAACTGGCTGTCGGTGGTAATCCCCCGGAATTTCGAAATTCCCTAAATTCCCAATCCCCATATTCCCTTCCGCCTTTTTCTGCCATCCACGCCACCCATCTAAATTTAGAATTCCCCCGAATAACGCGCTAATTTCTTTTTCGGCTACGATAATTTCCTACCTGAAAGCCCCTCTATATACCCACCACCCAACGGCTAATAGAAAAGAAGCGATTCTCGCGGGTCTCTCTCCAGTATATCCATGGATACGCCCGCAAAAGGCACACACTCGGGTTTTTCTGGATTTTTCCAGCCGTTTTTCGACAGGAATATAGTGTATTTTGATGGGAAATGGATACTGTAATCTTTTCTGGTGGGCAGTGATCGTAAATTTTGAGGAATTTGTATATTTGCCGGTTTATTTGTCGGTCTGTCTGCCATGCGGTGACCCTGGGTTTTGATAAACGCTAAACTGGTTCAAGATAAATAGGAATTTCAGGCGTTTTTAAAATCCCGTAGTATGTCTGTCAGGAAACAATTCAGTCCCCCTCTTTCCTTAAAATTTGTATGTCTGTCTTTCCAGCTTTTTTTGCTATATTCCGTTTCTCTGCCCTTCAGTTACCTCAAAAAATTACTTTCCCTCCAGTTGGCCTCAAACTACATTTCTTTTATGGGATTATCCCAGGCCGCCCTCCATGAGCTTCCCTCACGTGGTCCATCAGAAGCCTTATATACCTCATTTCGATCTGGTCGTTTTTTTACGCATGGCAGAACAAAAAAAATAGGTAATCAAAGGCCACAGCCCAGGGTGGCGGATTTGCAATTCATTGTATTGGGTATGGAATATGAATGAATAGAGGCTTTTGTGAGGCTTCTCCTGAGATTTGCCTCGATTCCTTCCTAATCCCTTCTTGAAAATCGATCCCTCCATTCCATCCATCTACTCCTTGTTTTTCAGTGACCCTCTGCCCACTCAATTGCTAAGATTTCTCCAGATCCAAGATCCGCCCTGTAAATCCGGGCTTTGATGATTTGGGCATTCTGAGTGCCCCTCTGGGGATCTGGGTAGCGCATTCAGCATTCCCTGTACTTTTGTCATTTATTTTCCTAGTATCGTGATTTTTCGTAGGGAGGGTAACTGAACGGCCATCTAACTTTTGCCCTTTTTTTCCGGCAATAAGATAACTTTCGTAACTTCTGGAAATCAATTACCCTACTCTCAGGCGGGGAACGGAAATTGAGGGTTTCGACGGTGTGAAAGCGCCAATTAGGCTCCTAGAACTTTTTGGCAGTTCAGCCTGGCATTTTGCCCTATAAACTACAAATAGCTCTATTCTAGTTCTCAATTTTTCTTAACTGTGCTCCATATTACACCTTTGTACACTTTATTAGCGGTTTTGACGTTTTTGAGCATTTTGAGGTGCATTCTAGCCTCTAAACTACCATTTGTAATCATTTGGTTTTCAATTTGTGCTTTCTGTACGCTGTACTACAACTTACAACAGTCAGATGGACGGTGGATGGTATCCATCTACCGGAGACCCCATCCGAAACCTCGGAGTACCACTGAAGAAGACAGCCTCATCACAGACCGTCATCTCTGCCCATTCTCTTCATCCAGATTACGCGACAATACCCTCCATTCTACAACAACAACAACCACCACACAGTCCGAGGACACCTAATAACGGATCACCGATGGGATCCCCACAAGGGACAAATCCTCCCGCTTTGTCTCTGCCAGTCAAAGGAATACTCAGCTCGAGACAGGCACATAAACTTGGATCGTCGCCAAAACAGGTAGGCGATGGAGTTTCCAGCCCAGCTCAGGGATTTTTATGATTTTGGATGCCAGATCCCCTATTTAACTATTTTAAGGGGGCTGGAAAGCCAGGGTTTTTTGAATCAGCACCTAGCCAAAAATTGACTGGCACCCAGATAACTTCGACGGCTTGCAAGTTCATTTAGAATTGTAGTTTATAGCCCAGCTAAGTGATCTTTCAGAATTCTGGATGCCAGACAACCTATTTCTAGATTTTAAAGGGTCTAGCAAGTCTGGATTTGGTTTTTGAACGCCAAAAACTGTTCAGTTTTGGACTAACTGGCACCCAGTCAATTTCCCTGACTTCCCAGTACCTTGAAATCAGACCCAATGGGTACACTGGTTGATAGTTGACGCTTTTGACTATTCAGCTTTCCTTCGACGTCCCCCCATCACCTGCCTTATCAGCCAAATCCTCGCTGGTCTCCCATTCGGCATCGTCTTCCGTTTTCGAGGGTCGTACGCGGCATTCCTTTCGACGAAAGGGCTCCGGATCGACACAACAGCGCAGTTATCTTCATAATGATCCCGATTTGACAAGGGATCCCAGTCGATTTCGGTGGGTGGCTACTAACTACAAATTGTCCTAGATTACGAGGCATGGACAGGTAGTACTGAAGCTACAGTAATCCATAGCGAAAAAAATTGAATTTTTGAGATTTTGGCTGCCGTTCTGGCGGATAAGGAATATATTCTGTCCCTCAGGAAGTACCTGTCTTAGCTGGTTCCTCTTCCCCAAATCAGTGACCCTCCTCTCCAGACGGGCCACCCTAACCCAACGAAGCAACTCTGAAGCGTGTTTCCCATCTCGAAATCTGTTGTCTGCCCAACAATTGGCATGTCCTCCACAACGAAGATCATCAATGGCCATTCTACCATCAAGAGAAGCTGCATTAATGAGGAGAATCCTTGGCCCACAGGGTCTCGGCTGGATTGCTGGTACGGTAGGATGGCGTGCTTTCTGCCAGTTTGGCGATTTCTTTTCGTTACGGTATATTTAACTGCCATGCACACTACCGGGTCAAAAATTTAAAACCTAAAAAGCTATAAAATTTGCGAAAAATGTCAACATCTTTAAAGTTTCGATTTTGCAAGCGATTCGTAAAAATAAAATTGCCAAGACATCGATTACCAGACAGTTTCTAGGTGGATTGAAATAAATTTAACTTTCAGGTGAACAATCCTCGAAAAAATCAATTTCCCTGGTGCTGAGCAACGATGTGGAGGCACAAAAAGGGGACGACTCGGAGACGCCGCTAATGAAAGATCAGGACAGCAAACAGTACGTTGTTTCCAAAATGCTTTCAAAACTTTTTTCAATGAAATTTTTTGGCTTTTTAAAACGATTTTTTAAATCACCGGAAGTTCAGATTGGCTAGAAAACTGCGGAACACCGAGTGGTAAGCCAGAAAAATGAAATATTTGCAAAAAACGAAATGCGTCTAACCACGGCTCTAGATTTTCGGGTCAAATGGTCTCTGCTAGCCTGCCCGGGCCCGAAATCGAGAGTGCCATTCTATAATTTGTGTGCCAGTTTCATTCACCCACAATTCATTCATTCGAGATATCATCAATCTGCCGTGTGTATAGAGGGATACTGTAGAAGTGGCAGATATCAGCTTGGAGAATTATCGATTTTTCAGGGGTGGCCGGCTGCTTCATCGAGAACAATATTATGAAAAGAGGAGGCAGACATGTGATCGAGCATTGGTTTTTGCTATTGCTGGCATTGGTAAGATTTTAGTTTATTATTCTAAAGGCGCAGTGACATCTGGGGATCCATTTCCGGACAGTTTGGCTAAAAATCGCAAAAATCATGAATTCCGGCTCGAGAATCCGTTTAAATAACTTTTTCGTGTTTTTAATAGGCTGACTGAATGCCGGAAAAAACCAATTTCACTGTTAAAATAAGATTTTAACAAATTTATCCCAATTTTTTCAGTTTTAATGGTGCTGGAGAGCGAGCTGAAGGCCAATGGATTAATCGATAAGGTTTGTATGAATTTCTTTTTGTTTTGTAGCTTGCAGTTTGTCTTTCCTGCCCGGAAATCAAAAGGAATTTGCCGGAATTTCCTAAAAATTCCCGTTTTTTACTTTTTACAGTTTTGCCGAAATCTCACATTTTTCAGAGCGGCACGACGAGTGTGGCATTAAAATGTCTAATAATGCTGTCAACAATGGCCCTTCTCACACAAGTCTTCTTTTTCTATTATATCAAAATACAGGTAAATCCGAAATTATTGAGATTTTAAAGGGATTGGCAAGTCAACCGGTAACCAGCTAACCTTTTGCAAAGAACTTCTGCTAGCTAGTCCTCCGAATGGAATTTCGCAGAGTAATCGATTGATTCCTGCATTCTGTCCGAAAATGGTCTTTGCTAGCCTGCCCCGACTTCCAGAAAGCCTTGGAGTAAACCCTTTCCATCAGTGACCCTGCCTGAAAAATCGATTTTACGCAGGGAACCTCTGCTAGCTTACCCTCGTGTCCTGGAAATTTTTCGCAAAGGTTCTCCCCTAGGCAGCTAACCTGAATTTAAAAATGTTTGCTGATTTCTTCTATTCCTCAAGGGTCTCTGCTAGCATATCCTCGTTTTAAAATCAGTGATCCTGCTTGTTTTTGACTTGTGAAGCCCTTTAAAATCGCACAAAACATCGAAAATTACCTGAATTCACGCCGTTTTCAGCTATTCATGATTGCAAACGCGGCAGATGATTGGCGGATAGCATTGACACCAAAGAGGCTTGTTATTGTGGGTTTTAAATTAATTTATTTCTATAGTTTTTATGCAATAAATTATTGAATGTTCAGATCAGCGCCGAGGTATTGGCATGTTCTCTCTGTCCAGTACCTATCGAATTCTGGAGGGAAGATCTCAAAAGGTAAGATCTTGGAGGGAGAGATTGGATTTCGGACAGATAGACGATAGATAGACAGACAGACGGACAATTCGAAAAGATGGCAGACAGACAGGCAAACAAACCGGAAGAGAGCTTCACAGACAGACATAAAAACGGTTAAATAGGCAGATAGACAGATAAACTGACTGGTAGACAGACAGTCAGTCCGACCGACCGACAGACAGACATACCAACCTACTAACTGTCAGACAGACAGGCTAACAGACACCCAAACAGACAGTTAAACGGCTCCTTAAGCCCAATTTTGAAAACGCAATCCAGCAGATACCCCATAGCCATTCCCCGATTATCTTGTCCAAAATAGATGAACTAATTGCAGTCGTGGGCGACATTAGAAGTTCTTCTCTCTCTGGGGATGTTCTTCCGTCTGTATTGGCTATGTCGAGTGATGCTTCTTCATTCAAAACTATTCACCGATGCGTCCAGCAGGTATTTTATACGATTCGGGGTTTTGACATACAATGCATTTTTAAGTCTTTTGGTATTTTGGAAACTGGGATCCAAGCTCTCAGGGGCAGGCTAGCAGAGATCATTTAAGAAGAGAAAACCGGGGTTTTGGCTCGAACTCGGGGGGGCACTGCATTTTCAATCCAGTTACGCCAGGTATATCATTAATAGACACTGGTCTATCCAGGACCCCTAGTTTGTTGAATTTCATCCAACTCGCGTCCAAGCTATCAGGGGCAGGCTAACAAACACCATTTGGGAGCTCGGAATTCAAAAAAAATGAGGGTCACTAAATTTTTGAGCCATGTTTTCCGGAATTTTTAAAAAGCTTTTTAATTGCTTTGTAAAATGCGCCGTATTCAGATCAATCGCCGGCCTCAACCGCGTGAATACAAATGCCCGTTTTATCCTGAAGACATTGATGACGCTATGTCCGGGTACTGTACTCATTCTATTCACGGCAACACTATGGATTGTCGCCGGGTGGATTTTGCGATTTTGTGAAAGGTATCGTAATTCTAAGTGTTATTTTTGGCTTATCTGGCCGCCAGACTACAAACTCTAAACCACAGAAATATCGAAATCTTTGGCAGAAGCGATCTAGAGATGGAGAACGTGAATATGTCAGCAAATCCGAGCAGTACAAAGGGGAGACCTGTCAATTATCTGAATTCCCTTTGGATGATTGCTGTCACTTTTCTATCTGTTGGATACGGTAAGGCATACTCTATTTATCACCATTTAAAGGGATTGGCAAGGCAAAGTTGCTATGGATTTTTTTGTTAATTTACCAGCTTTTAAATTAAAAATTAGCTTCAAAAGGTTAATGTTAAAACCGTTTTAAAGGCCCTCTCAAGGCAAAATTTCCATGGATTCTTGCCAATTTCAACTTGCTGCCTTACAGTACACCCGAAAAATGGCTATACTTCCATTTTTGTGTATTTCAGGTGACATCGTCCCTCATACATATTGTGGAAAAACGATGGCCGTCATCACGGGAATTATGGTCAGTTTTGGTGGTTCTACAAGAATTTCTGCTAGTTGCCTGCCAATTTACGGGCTTCCCACAAAGAATCCCTGCTAGCTTGCTCTACACAATTTTTTGCCACGCATAATGCTGGCTGGCAGCCAGTAAAACGATCAAACAACTCTGCTAGCTTGCTCCGATCCTCCATTTTTGGCCGATAATCCGCCAGATGGCATCCAGTTTACGGGTTTTCCACAAAGAATCTCTGCTTGCCCATAAAAATCATTTTCCGCAAGTACGTCAGCTAGTTGGCCGCCAGCTAAAACATTTCGCTCAAAGAATCTCTGCTAGCTACCCCGGGCGGGTCTCCCTCTGAAGATCTCTGCCAGTTGGCCCCCAGTTGGCATCTTTTCCCCAAAAAATCTCGGCAATCTCTCCTTTTCAGGGTACCTGTACCTCTTCAATGGTTGTGGCAGTGATAGCCCGTAAATTAGAGTTGTCTCGTGCTGAGAAGCATGTTCATAATTTCATGATGGAGACACAACTCACTAAAAAGGTACAATTTATTGTTATTTGGCATTATTTGGTGCTTTTCTATTATTGGGGGGAGCAATAATGCAAAAAAAATATCGATTTTCGACGAAAATTTAAAAACAGAAAAATCTTTTAAAATTAATTAAATTTTTTGTTTAAATAACTTTAAGTTTTTAAGTGAAATTTTTTGAATTGAAATATAGCTGAATTTAGTAAAAACCATTTTTTACACGGAGTTATGTGAGTTGGATTGATAGCAAACCCCCCCCGATAATGCCAAAGAACCAATAAATTACAAAATTAATCTTTTTCAGTTAAAACACAGCGCGGCAAATGTTCTTCGAGAGACGTGGTTCATCTATAAATATCGGAGATTGGTTGAGAAACCGGATACGGCACGGATAAGGCTTCATCAGAGGAAATTTCTCGTCGCCATTTATGCGTCAGTTTTTCGGCATTTTCATAGCGTAATCGGTTCGAAATCCCTCAACGAATCTATGATGGCCCGCCCTTAGGCTAAACTGGCATCCAGCCAAGGGGATCTACTATCTTAAATGATCTCTGCTAGCCTGCCTTTTCTGAACTAGATAAATTGGCTGCCGGCTGACTTGATAAACCAAAAAAATAACGATATCACTAGTACAAAATCATCATTACTCATTTCCCAAGTATTCTCTGCTAGCCAGTTCGATGACACCTAAATTCTCTTATTAATTGCCTAGCAGAAATTCGTTTTCCATCGCGTAATCGATTAATTGTCTGTCTTTTTCAGCCTCCGAAAAGTGAAACGAGATCAGCGAAAACTACAGGAGAATTTTGTCTCGCTTGGCGACGTGGCCAGGGTGGGTTTAAAGCTGTTTAAATCGGAAAAAAGCGGAATTTAATTTTCATGTCCTAGCCAAAAAGGCAAAATCGGAAAAATTTAGTTTTTTGGAACCTGAAATGTCGAAAAACTTTTTAAAAATTATAAATCTTAATTTTCATTTTTAAATGAAACTAATCTATATTGGATGGAATTAAATATATTTCAGACGACGTCAAATACGTACGAATTGGTGCAAGATTCTCATTCGAGTCAAGAGGGTCTTTCACTACGGATTACAGCCATCGAACATCAATTGTCCGATATATCAAAGTGAGTCGAGATTTTTAAAGGTTTTTTCGATATTAAACGCCTAAATGCAAGCCAGATAACCCATTACGCCATGAAAATCCCGAGAAATTGGCTTCATTTCCGAAATTTGGACAAAAAACCCGAAAAAAACCAATCGTTTACGACATGAAATAGCTATGGCTAATACGTTATGCTATTTAATTACCAATTTTCAATTAAAAAATCTGAATTGCCAGGCAGCTAACCCATTACGCCATGAAATTCCGCAAAACTTGCCGAATTCCGGAAGTTGAGGCAAAAACCCGAAAAATCAATGTATTACGTTATGAAAATAGCCATAGCTAATGCGCTACGCTATTTAATTACCCATACAAAATCAAAAAATCTGAATTGCCAGGCAGCTAACCCATTAAGACAGGAAAATCTATCAAAACTTAGCGAATTTCGGGAATCCATAAAAAAATCCAAAAAAATCGATTACGCCATGAAAACCCGTATTGAATTACGGTATGTAATTGCAGAGAGCTGGGTAATCTGGCGGAGCTTCTCCGTTCTCGACGACGTTCCTCATATGCAAGTGGAGATGAAACACCCCAAGAATCTCTCAGGAGACGCCATTTTGAATAATCCCATTTTCCCTTTTTCATCTTTTTAAATCCTTTTTATTTCGATTTATGATGATTTTGCTCTCGTGTTTTAAAGGGCTATTGAAGCCTGTCAGATCGGCTACAAAATACAACTTCAACAGCCCTTAAAACCCTCAAAACCCCCGATCATCCATATCTACAGTATCCAAAAACGGGTTCCCATTTTTTTCAGATTGCTTTTATTTTCCTATTTTTGTTATTAGAGGGATGGGTGGCAGACAGGTAAACTAGCAGCGACAATTTGAGAAAAAAAAACTGATTTTAGCGAGATTTTAATTTTTTGAAGCCAGGTAACTCAATTTCGTAAAAGGCTAGCTAGCAGGGATCCTCTGGGAATTTTGAGAAAATCCCTAGTGATCTCTGCTCGTTGCCTGTCAGTTAAGCGATGGTCAAAAAAACGTAGCCTAGCAGTGACAATTCAGGAAAGAAATCCAATTCTCAAGCCCGGATAACTGAATTGGTCGAAAAAGCCATCTAGCAAACATCCATTAGGAATTTTCTCAAAATTTCTAGTGCTCTCTGCTCGTTGCCTGTCAGTTTAGCGATTAAGGTCGAAAAAATAGATCCATCCCTTTAAAAACCGGCTAAATGCTTGGTGTGACGCTCCGTCTAAAAGTTGGGCCTTGATACCGTACCCCTTTCTCCCCCCGAGTGTCGAAATGTTGTGATGGCTTCTTCTTCTTCTTTATATTCTATATCCCCATTCAATTTGTTCAAAATACCGGTGACCTATGAATTAATACGCAACAATACAATGCACACACCCCCACTACAGTATACCATATCCTCATTGCACTACTTTTTATTGCGAATAAATATTATACGTACTTTCCGGCGGTATTTACCTAAAGTATGCATGACAGAAGAGAGAAATCCGGGACTACGGTACTTGGAAACTCGAAATTTGTAGTCCTACGTTCAAAAATAACCACCGTTATCCGCAAAAACACCTGCAAAACGCATTTCTAGCAAATTACTCAGCCGTGGAGTTTGTAGCCTGGACGTACAAACAATTAAAAACGCTGAATAACTTGTAATTTGTAGTCCTACGCTCAATAAAACCACCATTTTTGGTGGAAAATCTGAAAAATACACTTTTTACCAAACTATTGGGCGCGTAATTTGTTGCTTATCGTACAAACGCTTGAAAAGGCCGAATTTGATAGTTTGCATGACAGAATAAAGAACTGAACGGCTACGGTGAGCGGTAAAAAAAGGAATGATTTTCAAAAACTTGAATCCCCGGAAAAATACTTTCTTGTAGCTTGTAGCCCGGCCTGGAAAACTACGGATTAACTAAAACTACTTCAAAAGAAACACCAATTCGGGATTGTAGTCTGTAGCGTACAACACGGAACGATTTCCAAAAAATAAAACAAACGAAAAGTACGGGTTTAGTAAACTCGAGTCATGCCTAAAACCGACAAATTTAACAAAATACTTCTGGCTAGGCACAACTTTTAAATACAAGAAAACACGCCACACTGGCGTATGTATTTTGTAGCCTCGCATCCGAGATCAATCCGAAAACTTAAACAAACCTTCCATGTCTCGAAAAATACGCATTTCTTGTAGCCTGTAGTCCAGCCTTCAAAGTTCCTAATTTTCAAAAAAGATACGCCGATTCGGATAGAGGGTATCTAGCCTCGCATACAAAAGAAATCATTTCCAAAACGCTAAAAAGATACACTTTTTGCAGCCTTGAAAGCCACGATTCAAAAAAATTTGTTTGATTCGCGATAAAAGGTGCTTTCGAGGCATGTAGTTTGTCGTTCAGACGTAAATTCTCGTACTCTTTCTTGCCAGGCACATATCATCTTTATAACACGTAATAACATTTCAAAATTGGGGGACATTGAACGCGAGAGAGAGAGAGAGAGAGAGAGAGGAGAAGAGGGATTATGAGATCGAAATCTGTCGACAATAACAAAGAGAACACGCGCCAATTCGATATATAAGGCATTTATGGGGGAGAGAGGGAGAGGGGGAAGGATATTTGTAGAGGTATACACACACTGGAATATACGCCGAAATGGGGGAAATTGGTTTAGAAAACAACATCAAAAGAAATGGGCGGGGGGGTAATGTTTGCTTGTTGATCTTGTGGCACTTCGTGTAGATGAGCGGGCGGGGCGATGGTAGAGGACCTTCTATGCTGTCGCTGCCGATGTGCCGGGCGTCGGATCTGGAAAAGCGGATTTACAAAAATATATAAAAGTCAAAAACGCTCATTAAAAATACATAAATTCGTTTTAAAATCTAATTTAAAGTTTAGGCGTCTACAAAAATTTTTTAAAGGCCTTGGAAAGTCTAAAAACCTACAAAAGTTAATAAAATAATATTAAAATCAAAATATAAATTTTGAAAATTACAAAAATCATTAAAACTAGACCAGGGCAAGCTAGCAAAGGCAATTAGTGGAAAAGGCGTACCGAGCTGCGGATGCTGTTGTTGCTGGTTGATTGAGACAAGCTCATTGTCGTTGACGGGTCGTCTCATCACCGTCTGTCGCACCAACACCAAACGACCGTTCTCGTCCTTCTTCACGAACGCACGGATTTGCCGCCTGCAAAGGATACCATTTAAAAAATGCAAAAAATTAAACTCAATCAAGTCAAATCTAAAAAATTCAAACTTAAAAATTGTTAGAAAATTAAATACGATAAAAAATAGCAAGCTTACCAAAACTAAAATAAAAAAATCGAGTCATCTTTAAAAATTTAAAATTTAAAAAGTTAGAAAATTAAATTTAAGCAAATAAATCGATATTAATAAAATCAAATTTGAAAAATTAAATTTCCTACTAGCTATTTCAACGTTCAAAATTTAAAATAAACGTACTGCTCGAGTTTGGGCACAGCAGAAGGGGCAGCTGAGGAGACAGTAGATGGGCCGGCCATTTGTTGCTCCACGCCCTCATCCTTCGAGAGATCACCTAAAAATAAAGGTTAGAAACAAATCCTCAAAAATCTCTGCTAGCTGCCCTCCACAAAAATACGTAAACGTACACATGGGGCCGACATCGGAGATTCGAGCAGAAGATGACTTGACAACACGGGCATTCCTCGGTCCCTGGCTGATATGGGGGGCCGAGCCTCGAGAAGTCGACATTCCCCCCTCCATCTCATCGAATCCACGCTTGCCGCCTGCAAAAATATAAAGGATTCAACAAAATCTGGATTTTCCGCAAGGCAACACTGCTAGCCTGCCTAGAAAAAACCATTTTCCCCAAGAATCTTTGCTACTCGGCCCCAGCGATTCGCAATTTTCCGAAAAAATTCCCCAAATTATCACCGCTCGCTTGCCTAGACCTAAAAATCAAAATTTCACCATGATCCCCGTTAACTTTCCGCAAAGATCTTTGCTAGTCTGCTCATAAAAAAACGAATTTCCCAGAAATCCCCAAATTTCCACTGCTAGCATGCCCCTACAAACCTAAACACTAAAATGCTCATTTTCCAGCTAAAAAATTTTGTTTTCTCAAAAATCTTTGCTAGCTTACAATTCTCAAAAAAAAAGAAAATTCCCCAAATTCCTCTGCTAGCACGTCCAAAAACTTCTAAAAAACGTACCAATTCCAATGGGCTTCTTCTCGGCCTCCCTTCCCGTCAATCCGGAATCCCCCGCCAACTAAAAACAAAAATTAACTCAAAAAAGAATAAAAACAACTGACGTCTTGTGATATCTTGAGGAATTCGCCGAGACATTTCTTGGCAGTGTGTACACTTGAACACAACTGCATACGACGGATCAGATGCTGAAAAAGAAGAGATAGAGGATAGACTACAAGATACAACCCCTTACATAGCATTGCTGCTCGAGTTGGAGGACGTGGTTGTAGATGACCGAGTCGCGGAAGTTGCTCTTCTGCGTGATCGTGTTCAACTCCGGTTTCATGTGGGACATTGGACCTGGAAAAGAACCTGTTAATTTATCTGGAGAACCTTTGGGAATCGGGCAAGCTAGCAGAGACTTTGGAGGAAGCGAAAACTATGAAAATTGAATAAAGGCTGAGTAGCAAAGATTTTTAGGGAATTTTCGGACATCTGGCAGCATTAATTTGGACTGAAAAACCCCTGGAAAACTAGCAAAAATTCTTAGAGATAGCAAGAATTTTTGAGGAAATTTGAGCGAGCAAGCTAGCAGCCATTCTTTGACTAGGAATGAAATTCCAAAAACCAAGGGCAAACTGGCAGAGAAACCTGAAGAAATCATTGAAAAATCGCGTACCAAGCCGAGCGATTGTAGCCGTCAATCTTTCATCCCGTTCGCCCATCGTGAACTTGTCGCCGAGGGCCGTCGTCTCCCCGCTCGGCAGCATGTGGACCATTGTTGAACGATCGGCTGAAAAAAAGAATAAATTGCTAACGAATTAAAAAAATTTAACAAGCGCTTCATGCAAAATTTAGCGAATAATTCCATAAAATTCTGCCTCGCTAATCCTTTTAATCGAAACATACCGGGATCACTGCTGCCAGCATTCGTCGAGAATTGATATGCCGTCATGGGGTTGAGTGTCCTCCTATTTGCCTGTTGTTGTATTGTTGGTACTCCAGTGTTGACGAGTCGAGTCGAGATGACGGCCGACGTCGCATTCATGCTGGCCACGCGCGAGATGCGCTAAAACAATTGATTCTTGAAGGAAAACGCGAAAAATACCTGTAGCTTAGTATCCTGGAGTACTTCTTGTGTCTTCTTGCGTCTCTCCTTCAGCGTCTCCATGAAGTAGTCGGGATACAGGGTCTCCTCGAAGCCGACGTCTGAAAAATAGAATTATTTTGAAACTTAATTTAACCGAATTAATTTAAAAATCTTTTTGATTTAGTTGATTTCAAAGATTTTTCTGACATTTTTAAAAAGCGTTTCAGACGCTTTAAAACGATTATAAATGGTGCCAAAACCTTTGCAAAATTCAAAAATAGCTATTTTTAATTCCTCTAAATTCCCACAGACAATGTGGGCCGACCAACGAAGAAGTCGCCCAAAACCAATTCAAAAATTAAAAAACAACCAAATCGGGGTTTTCTGAAAATTTCAAAGATGTAGAAATGCACTCAATACGTTACAAAAGCCACAAAATAAAATTTTCCACCCAAAAAATCTTATAAAACGTACTGGAATGGATCCAGTGGTCAAAGTTGTAGTCGACGGTCACGTGGTACGTCCGGTCACGGGCATTCTGAATCGGAACTTAATCCAAAAAACGTCAACAATCGCGTACCCGGAAATCCCTGACGCGGACGAATGCTGTGCACGAGGCGTGCATGTCTTCCGGCGAGTCGTGGCGCTAAAAAAAGGGATTTACAGTGAAGTACCTAGATTTAGATACCTTCTTGAGCATTTGACGACTGTCTGAGTGGCAGAGATAGTAGAGACACTCGTCGAAGACGCCGTACCGCTTCAGGCGGCAATCCTTCGAGTCGCCGGGCGTCTCTTGCACATGACGGATCCATTGCTAAGAAGAATAGGCTACAAACTATCGGCTAAAATATACCTCAAATGAGGCAGCATCATCGAAAGTGTAGCTCGAGATGGTCAGGTCCGGCTTACTAAAGCAAAATTAGTTTTAAAAATCATTAAAATTGGTACTCGTGGGCACTCTGTAGATGGGCGATAAGGATGTCCTGTGAAGACATGTCGGCGCTTCTCATCTGGGCCCCACACATTATGCAAGTCGCCTGGAAATGGGGGGAATTAGCACAAAAAAAACAATGAAACAGGTTTTTCACCATTTTTAAAATCGTTAAAATTAAAAGGAATTAACGTATTTTCGACGCCTAGTATCTATCGTCTAGAAAGCTTTATGAAATGCGAGAAAAATGACTAGAAATGTGAGCCCTAAAAAAAAGGAAACTGATAATTAAATTCACTGCTTTCAAAAAAGCCACGAACTTTAAGCTATTTTTAAATCGACGTGGCATTTTTATGGAAAATGTGACTTTCTAGGGTTTAGATTCTCCAAAAAAAATTCTAAATTAAATTAAAATCAAACTTCAATTTTTTAACTAATTTCCAATTAAAATTAAAAAGCTAAATAAATACCGTACCAACGGGAGCGGCTTGGTCTTCTTTCCGGACAATGTGTTGTCCATGGCGAGTCGTTGACGCAAATGCTGCTGCTCGAACGCCCGTCGATACGGCTAAATTAAAAAATTCATTTTATTTTCAATTCTGCAAACCTTCTCGTCCCTGTGGTGTGCCAGATTGTCGACAATGGCTTCAAATGGAGGGAAGAGATGATCCGCGTCAGGGCCCGCCTTCGCCGAGAACTCGAATACTAAAAAGGGAGAATTGCGAGCCAAATAAACCAATTCCTACGTGCATTGCGGTGCAACACTTCCAGCGGCTCGTCGGTGAATTCGGCGTAGAGGCGCAGGTCGAAGATTCCGATGCGCAGGCGCAGCTGGAAAAGGGAAAATTACGAAAATTCAAAATTTGAATATTTATAGAAGTTTTCAGCACCAAAAAATTAGAAAACTCTGTAAATAAAGTCCGTACGCTATTTAGAAAGCTAGAGAATGCTATAAAAATGCGAAAATGTTCTAAATGACGTCACAAAACTTTCTACAAAAGCTGGAAACTGCATAAAAAAATTGGCCAGACTTTTCTAAAGCTTGTAAACTCATAAAACTAGCCAAATAAATTTCCCGCGCTGTCTTAGCAATAAAATTAGCAAAAATCGTTGAGAAACGTTTGGAAACCCCTCTTTTTCTACCATAAACCAATTTATACCTGCATCTCGTCGCTCTGACACGTCGGGTGGTGGTTGCTGTTGATGTAGCTCAACTCGGCGAACCCGGGCGTCGAGCGGAGCTGGAAAAAAGTATCAAAAAAACTTTCAAATTTGTTACCTTAGCCTGGCAGCTGTGGTTGACGCACCGCCAGAAGCACTCGTAGCTTTGGCTGTACTAAAATAACGAATTCAAGTTGAGAAAGCGAAATTTACGTGATTCTCGACGTTGTAGAGGAAGCCCTCAACGGCCAGCTGGATTTGGCCCTTCTTGGAGAAACACAGGATGACGTGCTCGTTGCCCTCGAAGTCCAGAGACTAAAAAGGAGGTTAAAAAGCTGATAAAAACGATTTTTGAAAAGTATTTGCTAAGATTCCCGGTAAATTCTAAGTTTTTAGCAGCTTTTCTAAAGTTAAAATAACATTTTCTTGATCTTTCTAGACTAACAATAAAGCAAAAAATTCGATAGACACCTTATCTTAAAGGGTATTTGCTAGCTAGCCTGGCAAATTTTAGGTTTTTAGAGCTTAGAAAACGGAGCAAACTTTAAAAAAGGGAATCTGACTAACTAGCATTCAAAATCAGTGCAAATCGAATCCTCAAGATTATTTGCCAGCTTGTTCACATAAATTTTAGCTGGAAAGCTTTTCGAAAAGCTTTAAAAAGTGACAAAACGAGTAACTAGCATCAAAAACACTAGAAGTCGTTTCCGAAAGAGTATTTGCTAGATTGCCTCAAGAATTTCTCGTTTTTCTAACTTTAAAAGCATCTAATCCCAAAAAGGTCAGGTTCTAGTTGTATAAAAATTTAGAGGGCTTAAAAATCGTTACTATACCTTTGAGAGAAGCGAGGCCAAACTAAGCTCGGGCCCGCCGACGGCCGCTTGTCCCACATCCAGCACGTCCTCCATCTCCAGTAGTTCGATGTTGCGCTAAATTCAAAATAGAGAAAAACAATGTAAACAGAATACCTCTCGGTTGTATACATCTCCAACGGTCTCTTCATGCCCTATCGACGGCTCTTCGCCCAGCCACTCGGTCACTCCTTCCTCGATCACCAGCTCGTCGTGGCCTCCCTGAAAAAAAAGAAAATTAAACTGAAAATAAAACTATGCACTCACTAAGCCACGGTCCATCATGCCGTCGTCCACATCAATCTGCATCTCGTCCATGTTTTTCTGAAAAAGAAGGTTCAAATAATAAAATGTGGAGCATTAAAATATAATTGAAAATTACGGAGCAATAAAATTCGATGCCGTGAAACATCTGACAAAAAAGAAAAGTAATCTTGGCGCTTAAGCTCAAGGAAACCCAAAAGGAAAACGGTTAGCATGGCTAAACTTATTTAAAGATTTAAAGAATCTAATCGATTTTATCTCTTGCCAAACTGCAGGCATCGACACACATATCCCCAAAACTTTCATTCCAATCTGCTCAAAACTTTCCGATATGATATTTGCTACAATTTGGCGTATTTTAGTAAATCGAAAGATCTGAAATTGATTGATGCCGCCAAGAAAGACTGGCCAAAGCCTTACGAGCCCTAGCATTGCTTCTCCGCGTCATGCACTCTCTCTGCGTCTGCCTTCTTTCTCCCTGTTATACAAAACCGCGCCAAAAGCAAGGATCCGAATCGCGCCGGAAGCGCGATTTTTTATGTGAATAAGTTGTCTTTTCTCGTCATAATTGGATGAGACTCATTTCTAATATCGTTATCAGTTTTCGCTTCTAAAGTCGAACGCCTGAAAAAAAAGACGTAAGGTGTATTACGGATTTTTGCTTGCAGCTAAATCGAAAACCGTTAATTTTGTGATAATTCTAGAAATTTGACCGCAATAAGAGCGATGTGGCCCGTATCGTTTATAAGCACACAGATGACGATGGCGATCAACACAGAAAAATAGAATACACAGATTCTAGGGAAATTTACAAAAAGAGAACACGCGCCAATTCGATCTAAGGCATTTTGGCGGAGAGAGACAGGGGGATGGATATTTGTAGAGGTATACACACACTGGAATATACACCGAAATGAAAAAAATGGGCGGGGGAGGGGCGAGGGAAGAGAAATGGACAGAAATGACTTGATGTAGATGACGGAGTGGAACGATGGAGGAGGGTCCTATTCTGTCGATGCCGATGTGCCGGGCGCCGGATCTGGAAAAGCGGATTTAAAAAGATATAATAGTCAAAAACCCTCATGAAAAATCAATAAATCCACATTAAAAACTTATTTAATTAATCATTCAATTTAATTTAATCTTTTAATTTACTCAACGTTTAAGAGTCTAACAATAAATTCTAAGGGCTAAGCAAGTCCATACATCCAACAAAAAACAAAGCATTGCTTACAAAATTCATAGACGATACTAAAATGAAAAGTTCTAAAACTTTAAAAAATTAAAACTAGACGAGGGCAAGCTAGCGGAGACAATTTGTAAAAAAATTCGTACCGAGCTGCGGATGCTGCTGTTGCTGGTTGATGGAGACGAGCTCGTTGTCGTTGACGGGTCGTCTCATCACCGTCTGTTTCACCAACACGAAACGACCGTTCTCGTTCTTCTTCACGAACGCACGGATTTCCCGCCTGCAAAGGATACCATTTTAAAAATAACAAAAATTCTTAAATAAAAATTGTTAAAACTAAATATAATTTTATAACCTACAAAATTTTGGGAAGCTCAATTTAAGGAAAATAAATTCCAAATCTCACAAAATTAAATTTGAAAATTTCAAAAGTTAGAAAAATAAATAGAAAATTTAATACAACTAAAATTTGAAAAATCCAAAACCCTCAAAAGTTGAAGATGAAAATAACTTACTGCTCGAGTTTGGGCTCTGCAGAAGGGGCAGCTGAGGAGACAGAAGATGGGCCGGCCATTTGTTGAGAGAGACTAGACGTCGAGAGCCTATCTGAAAATAAACATTAGAAAAAAATCCACACTTAGCTATCCTTTATAAAATGCGGAATAAAACATACACATTGGGCCGACATCGGAGATTCGAGCAGAAGACGACTTGACCACACGGGCCTTCCTTGGTCCCTGGCTGATATGGGGGGCCGAGCCGCGAGAAGTCGACATTCCCCCCTCCATCTCATCGAATCCACGCTTGCCGCCTAAAAAATTAAAATAATTGGACCAAATCCGGATCTTCCGCAAGGCAACACTGCTAGCCTACCCTTTATAAAGTAAAAATTAACCACGAAATTCCTAGTCAGAGTCCCAAATTCCACAAATCCCACTGTTAGCCTGCCTAGAAAAAGAAATTGTTCCTCAAAAATCTTTGCCAACTAGCCCCTCGGAATCCAGAATTTTGCCAAAAGAATTCCCCAATTACCACCGCCGGCTTGCCTAGACCTAAAAACAAAATTTTGTACAATGATTTGCGTTAACCTTCTTCAAGAATCTTTGCTAGTTCACCCATCCCAAAAAATTCAATGAACAAAATTTCCCCAATTTCTTCCGCTAGACTCCCCAAAAATTCCTTCAAAAACGCGTACCAATTCCAATGGGCTTCTTCTCGGCCTCCCTTCCCGTCAATCCTGGATCCACGGCCATCTAAAAACAACAATTAACTCAAAAAAATGAAGGGGAAAACGAACTTCTTGTGATATTTTGTGGAATTCGTCGAGATATTTCTTGGCCGTGTGCACACTCGAACACAACTGCATACGACGGATCATATGCTGAAAAAGAAGAGAGTAGACTACAAGATACAACAACTCACATAGCATTGCTGCTCGAGTTGGAGGACGTGTTGGTAGATGACCGAGTCGCGGAAGTTGCTCTCTTGCGTGATCGTGTTCAGCTCCGGTTTACCATTGTGGGACATTGGGCCTGGAAAAGAAAAGATTAATTTAATTTGAGAACCTTTGAGAATCGGGCAAACTAGCAGAGATTTTTGGAGGAATCGGAAACGCGGAAAATTGGAAAAAGGCAGACTAGCAGGGAACTCCCGGAAATCTGTCAGTGTGAATTTAGACCCCAAAAACCCCTGGAAACTAGTAGAGATTCTTAGAGAATCCTGAAAAACAGCTCAGAAATTTGGGTAAATTAGCGCAGGGAGCTAGTAGAAATTTTGGGAGCGACAAAGCAGGAAACCCAACAGAGAAATTTGCGGAAATAATTAAAAAAATGGCGTAGCTTGCGCATCACGTTGCGATAAAATCCATAAAATTCTGCCTCGCTAATCCCTTTAATCGAAAGATACATACCGGGATCACTGCTGCCAGCATTCGTCGAGAATTGATATGCCGTCATGGGGTTGAGCGTCCTTCTATTTGCCTGTTGTTGTATTGTTGGCACCCCAGCGTTGACGAGTCGAGTCGAGATCACCGCCGACGTCGCGTTCATGCTGGCCACGCGGGGGTCGCCCTGAAAAATTTGATTTTTACCTTCGAAAAACTAGAAATTTTAAGAAAAATCCTGAAAATGGGGGAATTAGCAGGAAGAAGAAAAAGCGAAAAATAACTTCTTACCATTTAATCAATAAGATTAAAACGCAAACGTATTCTGAGCCTCGTATAGTATTTTAGTCGTCGAGAACGTTTTTTTGCAATGCTAGATGAATTATGGCAATTTGAGCCCCACAAAAGCGAAAATACGACTCATATTGAATGCTTTACAAAACGCTACGAAATATAAGGTAGTTTATATAAAAAACGGTATTATTACATTGCAAAAAACTTCTAGAAAAAATAAAGACATTTTCTTCAAATTTAGGCCTAAAAAGGGGGGCTAAAAGGCGATTCTCCAAGAGCAAGATTGCCCCCACGAAATTCTAGTTATCAAACTTTCAAACGCTTATAAATTTCAAAATAACGCCTATTTCTACTCATCAACTCAGAATTTAGAGGGCTCAAAAAATAGTGATACCTTTGAGAGAAGCGAGGCCAAACTAAGCTCGGGCCCGCCGACGGCCGCTTGTCCCACATCCAGCACGTCCTCCATCTCCAGTAGTTCGATGTTGCGCTAAATTCAAAATAGAGAAAAACAATGTAAACAGAATACCTCTCGGTTGTATACATCTCCAACGGTCTCTTCATGCCCTATCGACGGCTCTTCGCCCCACCAATTGGTGTCCGCTTCCTCGCGGTCCTCTCTCAGATCGTACCCCTAAAGGGGGAAATGAACTAATAAAATACCGACATATATTTTGAAACAAAAAATTAAACAAAGTTCGGAAATCTTAAAGCGAAGGGAAACCAAATTTTTTCGTGCGTTTCTCTACGACCCTATAACAAAATATAAGCCATTTTTAGTAAGTTTTCAGATCTAAAAAAAATATTTTTGACTTTTGTCGTATGAAAAATGAGCAAAAAAGGCCAAAATCTTCGAATTTCCAAAATTTTTATTAAAACACCATAAAAATACATTATAAGTCATCAAAAAGGTAAAAACCGAGAATGAATTTCGCTTGAAGTGCACAAACTTTGCAAGGCCCTTTTTGGCATTTTAAAGGCTTCCACCACTCAAAATAATCCGGTTTCAACAGAACTAAATCTTTGAGCATAAAAAAAATCATACCATATGCTCCAGCAGAATCCGAGCTCCCGAGTTCTGTGGGGGGGGCAATGTCTTCTGAAAAAAAGAAAGATTTACGCGACTATCCGGCAAGTTCGTGCAGATCGGGGTATGAAAAAAGGGAAATAAATTTTAGACCTAAAAATGTAACAATTTTAACCTTAGAAAAAACAAATTTAGGGCCGGTTTTGGCTATTTTTGACGGAAACTAAGCGTTAGGACCTCTGAAAAATCGAAAAAATTTCAAAAAAGGCAAAAAAGTATATCAAGACAAAAGCTATGTTTCGATGCGAGAAACGCTCAAGAACAAATTTAAACCAAACCAATTATAAAATTTTGCTTTTTTTATGCGAAAAATGTACCGTTCTTCGCCTCATCTCCGTCTTCGTCTTCCAGCACATACATCGGGAGCTCTTCAAACCGTGGCGATCGAGCGACCTCATCGGCATCCATTCGGCCTAAGCGAGAGCTGTTACAAACGCAAAATCGGGGTTTTTCCCGAAATGAGTCCAGAAAATGAACAAAATCCAGGCGGGCCAAAACCTGGCGGGCTTTTCTATGTGGCCCGGAACCACAGGCCACCCATTACTTGCTGCCTTGCGGCCGCGACTTCGCCGCCGTTTCGCCGGGGGGTGTCGGCGGAATGGCCGCTGTTTCGCCGCCGTCATAGAGAGCGTGACGTAGAAGCAGCCCCATCACCCAACTTTTCGATTTTTGAGACTTATCCGCTAAATTTCTCTTTTTAGTTCCTCTAATGATAAAACTTTCAATTTAAGCAGATGATTTTTGCGATTACAGTGGCTGTACGGACTAATTTGCGCTATGATGAGATAATATGATGATTCTAGCACTGATTTCTTTTTCGTTCTAAAAAGTAAGTGTTCTGAAAATCTAAGACGGAATGTCCTAGCTTTTAGATTGTTAATGGTGGCAGTTGAGCAATTTTTATATATCCTTTCTAGCTTTACCCGATATCGAAACTCTATTCTAACGTATTTTGACAATAACGGCTTGAAGTTGTTCTAAGTATTTGCCCTTTTTATAAACCTCTGCAAACCGGTATTTTGAATGAAATCTGAACTTAGTCTGGGAATAATCCAGTCGATTACCCCCAGTAATGAGAAATTGGCGCTGGAAATGGCTGTTTTGCGGCAAAATTCGACCTAGCGGATAGTAAGTCGACAATTTTGTCCTGTTCCTGCTTTCTATGATCTTAGCCGTTTTAACTGTTTTCGATAGCTGAAACATATTCTTTGCGCAAAAAGCAAAAGTTTGGCAATGCTTTTGGGGGAAAACAGCGGCATGGGGGTACCCAGAGTCGAACCCGGCCCCCAGGTTCGCTATTTGGCATTTGGCATAACCACTAACCGACAGCGCCGCGCCTTCAGGCGCCCTTACCCGTGTCTGCGGGGAATGCCGTAAGGCGGAAGTGTGCCGGGCATTCGCCACCGTGATGCCGTTGCTACCGCCGGGACGCCGCCTGGCCTCCGCCGGCATCACGGCGGCAAAGTGACTACGCCGGTATTTCGCCGTCTCATCTGCGGTATGAATTATTGCCGCTCCTAATTTCCGTAACAGTCGATTACAGCCGCTTCGCGGCTGCTATCGACTGGCCCTCCCGGGGGGCAAGGCAATACAGGGTGCTTCCCATTCTCTTTAGCATATTTCCCGCGTGGCGCGGATACCTTCCGTGATCTACCTATGCACCTCCTCCAAAACCAAAGAATCTTCCACTCCTCCTCTTCCCCCTGAAAGAAACCCCCCGACATCCGTAGCTGATTCTAAACAAATATAGAAGGGAAGTGTAATGGTTAACACCCTTGAAAGCAAGTTATTTCCCCCTTCTTTGGTACTAAAAAAACATCTAAGAATCGCCTAATGGCTAGAATACCCTCGAAAGAAAGTTATTTCCGCTTCTTCGATACCAAAAAAAACCCTCTAAGGCACGCGTAATGGCTAGAATACCCTTGAAAGAAAGTTATTTCCCCTTCTTAGTTACTAAAAAAACATCCAGGAAACGTGTAAAGGCTAGAATACCCTTGAAAGAAAGTTATTTCCCCTTCCTTGAAACTAAAAAACTTCTAAGGAACGCGTAATGGCTAGAATACCCTTGAAAGAAAGTTATTTCCCCTTCTTAGTTACTAAAAAAACATCCAGGAAACGTGTAAAGGCTAGAATACCCTTGAAAGAAAGTTATTTCCCCTTCCTTGATACTAAAAAACTTCTAAGGAACGCGTAATGGCTAGAATACCATTGAAAGAAAGTTATTTCCCCTTCTTAGTTACTAAAAAACTTGTGTAAAAAAAAATGTGGTGCGCCGCTCCAGTTGTTTTTCTGCTTAAATTTGGACTTCCGTCGGTTCAAGGCTTCTCCCGAAACGGTGCCTATTTTGGCGTTTCTTTAAAAGTGTAATGTGTTCAAATAATGTCGCAAATAACTGAATGCCACTCGGCTATTCAACTCCCTTTGCAGATACTCCCTCTTATTAGCGTTGCCAATTGCCACCATTAACAATCTAAAAGCTAGGACATTCCGTCTTACAAGGAGTCGTTTTTAGGTGATATTGGAGTTTTTGAGCGAGACCTAGCTAGTTCGATAGAGAAAAAAATTCTGAACAAGATGTCGTTTTCCAAATCTGCTAACCGTGTATTGTATTCGATAAAAAATAATTTTAATGAAAAAATTCCGTGGCGCCACGCGGCGACAGATGGATCAGGCCCGGTACATTGGCCGCAATGCCACCAGCATCCGCATGAGATGGTGGCCTAGTGGATAGGGCAGGCGCCTATCAAACTTTTGCAAAATTATGCTCGCGGGTTCGGAACTTTTTTGCATTAGCTGTTTTGCTTTTTGGTTTTTAACGCTATTGAGGCCATATTTGGCATCACAGAGCAAAAAGCAAAAGAGTTTTACTAGCTAGGAGTCGAACCCGAAGGCAAAAAAAGAAAAAGCTTATGAAGCGAGTGCACTACCAATATGCCACGCGATCATGGTGGATAAAGGGTCTGAAGGGGGCTATGTTCACGCGTACCTCCCTAGCCAAACCTGCGGATCAGCTGAGAAATGATGGCGTAATTAATAATTTTCAAATTAATTTTTATTGAATACAGTGCACGGTTAGCAGATTTGGAAAACGACATCTTGCTCAGAATTTTTTTCTCTATCGAACTAGCTAGGTCTCGCTCAAAAACTCCAATATCACCTAAAAACGACTCCTTGTTAGATTTTCAGAACACTTACTTTTTAGAACGAAAAAGAAATCAGTGCTAGAATCATCATATTATCTCATCATAGCGCAAATTAGTCCGTACAGCCACTGTAATCGCAAAAATCATCTGCTTAAATTGAAAGTTTTATCATTAGAGGAACTAAAAAGAGAAATTTAGCGGATAAGTCTCAAAAATCGAAAAGTTGGGTGATGGGGCTGCTTCTACGTCACGCTCTCTATGACGGCGGCGAAACGGCGGCGAATTTCTGCCCGTGAAGGCAATAAAGTTCGAGCGTTCGAGCAAATTTGTAAAAAGTTCGAGCAGTCATGAAATTATGCCTTTTTTAATGGTATATTTACGTGATATTGATGCATACTTGATAGTTTAACGTCCTATAACTAATTCTACGGCAAAAGTAATCAGTTTCACTCCCTAGAACGTATCTTAAAGCAAAAGTAAAGCCTAGCGCGCAGTATAACAGGAGTCAACGCATTTTAGGGACCATTATTCACAATAAAACCGAGGAGCTTAGATTGCAAAACTTAAAAGTTCTTAGGTTTAATTAAGCAAACAAAAACTTTTGCCGTAAAATTAGTTATGGGACGTTGAACTATCAAGTATGCATCAATATCACGTAAATACATCATTAAAAGACATAATTTAAATGACTGCTCGAGCTTTACTAATCTGCTCGAACGCTCGAAAGCTCGAACTTTTTAATCGCGCCGTGAAACTGCTCGGTTAGCAAAGCGCCCGCGAGCGCGCCCAAAAACCCAAAGCGTCCCCGGGCGCGCCCGAACTGGGCCATTTTGCACCTAGGGCGCAATTTGCGCAAAAGGGCGCAACGCCGGCCCGGGCGCAAAAAGCGCCCATGGGCGCAATTGAGGGCGCGCCCGCGGGCGCATTTGAATGGTGAACACCTTTCAATTCTGCGAAAAAACGCCTAAGTTCCTGGATTATGCACTTATTTATGTTTAAAATATATAAATTAGCACAAACGTTACTAGATTTGCTTGGTTATGGTCGTCGAATGTAGACAACGATACTTTGAATCGCCATGGTACAGGTAACGTAGGCAAAGTTATCCTACGCAGCAGATGTCTTCAAAACTTTAAAAATCCTCAAATTTTAAATTCAGATTTATAGATTCTAGATTTATAGAAGCCAACCTTTTAGACGATTATGGCCATCATTGCAAATGCGAAGCGAAACGTTTCCGGTATCTTTGAGCGGAGTTTCTACGTAAGTCGGCAAGAAGGAAGTTAAAGTAAGTTTTCAGGAGGCGGAAACAAAGTAAGTGCAGCTTACGAAGTTTATAAAGGAAATTAGTTAATTAGCTACACTTTTAGGAGCCGCCCATCGCGCATTCGAACGTATATCTAGGTTCTAAATGAAGCTAAAGCCAAGAAAACAAAAAAAAAAGCTATTTCAGGTGCGCCGTACGAACAGGTGCTCAGGGAAGATGAAGATCTACATTAAGTATAGGGTACAGCATCGTCTAAAGCGATGCAGCGCCCTTTTCTAAATAATAAAAGCATTAAAGAACCCGTTATACGCCGTTACAACGCGATTGGGGCGCGCCCGCGGGCGCTTTTTCGGATTTCGGGCGCGTCCTCGGGCGCTTTGCCTCATTGCGCCCGCGGCGCCTGTGAGCGCGCCCCTGGGCGCAATTACGAACCGAGTGAAATGCCCAAAATCGCAAACCGACCTTTACGCTCCGTGATACACCTATTGACGCTAACAGGTAGGATACGGTAGCTGAGTCAGCAAATAAAAAGTCAAAATCGGTTTGAAAACGACATAGTGTTTTTCTTTGATGATTTTTCTTGTTACGTGGGAAAAATAGTTTTCACTGAGGGAAATCTACCGGGTTTTCGCCGCCCGGCCGCCGCCATTTGGCTCTCGCCGCCCGGCGGCCGGAACTTCGGCGCTGTTTCGCCGGGACGTGTCGACGAAAGAGCAGCGAAGGGCCGGCGGCCGGGCGGATAGTCGGCACTGCCGGCGGCCGCGACATGGCCGCCGCGATTTCGCCGCCGTCAATAGGAAAGCCACCGACTAGTAGCTCAAACGCTCAATTGCTCTAACAAGGAGTCGCTTTTAGGTGCTTTTGGAGTTTCTGGACGGGACCTAGCTAGTTCGATAGAGTAAAAAATTCTGAACACCATACCATTTTTAAAAAGTGCTGATCGATAAAGGAATTTTAGAAAATTTAATTTAAAGTTCGCGCTTTTATTCTAGTTTTCGGGTCCATTTCCTCGGTTCACGTCGTTTTCGGGGCTGGGCAAGGCGCCATTCCTAACATTTCGCCAAGGCGTCCATCACATGTTGTATTGGCGTCTTGGTAGCGCGCTTGCCTACCAACTTTTTAACATTTTTTTGCCTCGGGTTCGAATCTTCGCGCTGGCTAACCGTTTGCTTTTTGGTTCTTGAACCCGTTATCGGTGCATAAAATTTTAATTAGCAAAAAAGCAAAAAGTTAACGATAAATAAGAATTGAACTTGTGGCAAAAGGCCAAAAAAAAACTTCGTAGGCCGAAGCGCTAGCCACTTGGCCACACCTAGGACGGGATCCAGGGCACGTGAAGTCCCCATGTGGCAGGGGCGGTTGACCGCCGCAAATCGTCTCAAATCACCTCAAGGGTCCGGATACCGGGAACGTTTTTAATTAAATTAAATTTTCTCAAACACCTTTATCGATCAGCACTTTTTGAAAATGGTGTGTTGCTCAGAAGTTTTTTTTCTAACGAACTAGCTAGGTCCCATCCCGAAACTCCAAAAGCACCTAAAAACGACTCCTTGTAAGAAGGAACTAGTTTTTGATACGAAAATTACTACAATTATCGAGGAATATGACGAATTGAGCCTCAAGTCACTTACGTTGAAGATATAGCTAAAAAAATCTTTCGAAATCTTTTAGAATGCTGATGGCAGGTAGGAATGAATTGTTTTTAGCAAAGCTAGTTTATGTGGCGATAGAGAACTAACATAAGTAAGTTTTTGGGTACCTGGCAGATAATTATCGGTAAGTTTTTATCGTTTTGTTGATTTGGCCGTTAGGAAAGTGTGATATGATAATCCGGTAAGAGGTCTGATTGTCGTTTTAGGCTCTTTACACACAAAACCTGACACTATCCCATGTGATTTGTTTCAATTGTGCATTTAGTTTGATGAAAATTCCATTGTTTGAGAGGAAATCGAAATTTTCGGGGTTTAAGTGATCAAAATAAGCAGATCAGAGCAGATCTACATTTGATCGTTGATGGTTATATGACATTGTCCTACACGGAACAGAATAGCCGCGACTGGTAGGCACGGCGCGTGCGCTAGCCGTGCACGGCCCGTGCGCTAGCCGCGATAGGCGCGCGCCCGCGACGGAGCCGTGGACTAGCCGTGGAGTAGCCGTGCGCGCGCTGTGCACGGCTAGCGCCAGGCCCGGTGGCTGAGTGGCCGTTGGGGCGCCGCGCGCGCGCCGTGCGGGGGCCGCGCACGGGCCGTGCACGGCCTTGTCACGGCTAACGTCGATAGTAAAAAACGTGCGGCCCGCGCACTCTGACATTTATTTCTTATTTCCGACTGATTTCTGCGCGTCTAGCCTATGTTGTTGTAGCCGTAAGTGTTTTAAAATGATATTATCAGTTATTTTGCTTTTCCAATGACTTTCCAAAACCAAAAAAGTTGTTTTACTTTTGCTAGTTTTTGTGATAAAAAGTCGCGCCGCGAAATTTAGCGCGCGCCGTGCAACAGCCGTGCACGCGCCGTGCGGGGGCCGCGGCTATTCTGTTCCGTGTAGCCGACGGAATAGACAGGCTGTAAGTATTGACACGTTTCGAAGTTGTTGAGGGTGAGTTTTCTGCGTGATGTTTTTCATTTCTAATAACTACAGGGTGGGGCAAAAAAAAGTGCCGTAGTTTGTCCCCGATTATCTCGAGAAGGAAAGATATTTCACCGTGCGTTACCATGCCAGAATGCTTAAATATGTCAGGAATAGGGAAATAACTCAACTTGATTTTTTCGATTTTTGGCGACGTATCAATACAAATGACACCCGAAAACTGTGCGCTCGGGGAAATCTTACTTTGCCTTTTTCTAAATTTCCTGTGGTGGCATAATTCTAATTTTTAATGTATAAGTAGATGTCGCTATTAGATATGCACCAGCAAAATTTAAGAATTTTTGAGGGTCTGCTTGTAAATTCATGTGGGACTGAAATTTTGTATGGAGAAATTACGTAAATTTCCAAGATTAAAAAAACTTATGGCTGAGAGCTCCCAATAAGTATTTTTATAATACCCACGGGCTCGGCATTATCGCATAAACATATTAAAGAAATTTTCGAAATCGGTGATTTTTCGAATTTTTCAACGACCCCCTGGTCATGGATTTTTTGGGGTGACGAAAACGATCTTTGGCAAAATATTTCCAAAGTTCCAAATCGAACCCAGCTATTTTCTTTGCTTAGTTGTGCAGACCTGAAGTTTATCTATTAGCTGTCAAATATGGGCCTACCGTACCCGCCAGGAAGGACACGTTTTAATGGCACCAAAACCGTTCGCTGGTGCAATTTAGCTAAGCTAGCGCCTGCCATCAAAAATTTTGCTAGGCAGCTAAAATTGTATTTATATTTTTTCTAAATTCTACCGCATAAGCGCATTCTATAACGCATTTGATAAAATGATTGGATGAATATACCCTCCGAGCGGGGCCGGCGAAGACTCGAAATGGACCAAACTGTGGGCTACCCCAAAAAAATTTCAGACACCGGACAGCCTGGATGTTTCGGATCTTAGTTTATCTTGGCCAGCCAAAGAAGATAGTGCAAAGATTCGAACAATTTCATGGCTCAAAAAAATTAAAAACATTTTCCAAACCCAGATTTGGAAGAGGTTCGTTTTCGGCTCTGGGCCGAAGATCACCAACATTTCGGATCGGAGATTCCTCTAACTCTACAGCCATCCGTAATTTGACTTGTTTATGGATTCTATCCATAAACTCATGGTGGCTTTTCGATTTTCAAAAATTCGATTTTGGACTCGGGAGGAAAATTCGGTCCCCCGGCCTTGTTTTGCAGGATCTCTCATATCTTGGCTATTTGCCACAAAAACGTGCCGATTTTTGGCCCAGACTATTGCATTGGCATAAGGACAAGCCCGACATGAAAAACCAAGGAATTTACGGAAGTTTTTTTTGGCATGCTAAAACGCGCTCCACGAGGGTTACGGTAGAAACTTGATCAAGGATTTTCCGCGCGATTTCACCATAGAAATGCTTCGATTTTTGGAAGGGGTACATGGCGATTTGCTTGCGATCTCCTGACGCAATAAACATTAAAACTAGTTGGTCAGTATCCAATTCGCATTTTCGGGTATTTCTACCAAGTCCATGTGTAGATCAAGCTGACAGACTCGGCCAAAACTGGCGCCCGAGCAGTCTCTGATTAACGGAGAATCTGAATTGCAGAAACTATAATAAAAATAGCATTTTCGGAAGTACATTTCGCGGGAAACCTGACTGTAGCCCAAAAAAAAAGGATTTATTGACCGCCAAATTGGCTCTCATAAGTGGAATACAGAAACTGCAAATAATTTGGCGGAGCGGGCCGCAGCCTTTTACGCCGAGAACGTTTTACAAAAAGGTTTTACCAGTTCACAGAGGATATCGTTATAAAGAAAGATAATGTGAAAGATTATTGTTTTCGATAGCGCACTCGGCAGCCATGTTGCGATTCAATATTTCCGCCTTGCTTCGCAATAATAAGAGCCAAGCGTTCGGGGAGCTGAGCCACAGCTCGTTGAATAGCATCTTCCGGTAGCTCATCCCAAGCTTGTCGGAGAGCTTTCTCAAAGCGCTCCTTTCGCTCTTTTACAGGAAGATGGGCATCCGGACTGGAAATCTCGCGCACACGTCGTTCTAGCATAGACCATATTGAATAGTCCAACACATTTAGGTCGGGTGAGTTCGGTGGATAACTGAAAAAAGCGTTGATTACTACTATTTTTAATACTATTCTCTGTCCAAGTAGCGAATGTTGTTTTGAACTAGCCATGCGTGGGTCTCATTTGCATTATGGCCCGGTGCCCAATCGTGTTGAAAAATGAAATCGTCGCCGACAAGCTGTTGAGCCGCTGGTGTGATATGCCTTTGTAGCATATACCTTATAAATCAATTCTTGAGAAGGATAACACAATATCTTACCTATATTCTGGCCCACCGATGTTGATACCCTTTTCCAAAATAATTAGGGGTAGCTTCTGTCCCGTTCCGGTTACAGCGCCATGTATCAGATAGCCGGGCCCTGTCGGCTTCCCATGCGGTAGATCAAGCAATTCCGAGTCCACTTCTTTTTTGCTGCCAGCCTTTGACAGGACCCATTCATGGCCCCGCGGAGGGTCGATGTTTATGGTCTTTTCATCAGAAAAGACTAGCTTGGAGATCAAGACGTCGCCTGACTGTAACGCCGCCAGCAGATTTTTTGAACACTTGACCCGCGCTTCTTTGTTGCGGTCCGTCAAAGAATGGACAGGAACCTAAACAAAGCCCTCTTATTGGCTGCGATTACGAACTTATGAATAACCTTTCATTAAACTTGCTAATCGGTCAAGCTAATTCACCCATTGCATCACTAGAACCAAACCTGATTAAACACACCATTTTGTAGGATTTGTAACCAGCTTCGCGGCAAATTCTTCGGGTCGTTCTAGGCGCCAACCCAAGCCGACTTGCCAATTGCCGGGTAGAAATTCTCGGGTCTCGAGCGATTTCTGCAGCGACCGCGCTGAGATTAGCTTCTATCAACTTTCCCGGGCGCCCAGATCCCTAGATATATAAAATAGCCGGTTAATGAGCCTGTACCTCTTTTCTTTGGGCCGTTTGTCCTTTTTTAACCCGGTTGATAAACTTTCTCAGCTGATTTCGTTGAACCAAATATCCAAGCGAACTGGACCAACGGAGCAGGCCATCAGTGTCCATTTTTAGATCACGAACTAGATGAGTGGCAGTGGCTTTTAGTTCTTCCGGCCAGGCCGTCAAGGGCACATATCTGTTTCGTCCCTGGAAGTCATATATGTATGTTAAGTTCATGAGATCACCATAGGTCGTTCTTGGCCTTGGCTACCGGACCGGGCTCTTTTCCGATGAATTATCAGTTCCTCATCTGAACAGTCTTCTTCAATGCTTTCGCTACGTCGTTTCGACCCGGCGATCGGCCCTAAAACATTTTCCTCGTAAGCAAATCGATACAAACCCGCAGCTTCTAAACTTTCTTGTTCAATGTCGTCGACCTTTTCTTTGCACACATCCCCATCATAGTCCATGGTTTCTTCAACTGCGGCCCTGGTCTCGCCGGCTCTGTCCGTTTCTTGCTCGCCATTTGTCAGTTCCATCTCGAGATCGTCATCAGAAAAGTCGTCTTCAGATCGGATTTCCTTAATTTCTATTGAGAGCACCGGTAGTGATGGGCCGCTTAAAACCCCGTGCTGGCAGACTACTAACTATTCAATGTAGCCGATTCGCAAAAACCAATACAAGAAATCCCATACAAGAATAAGATGGCAAATTTTTCCTAACAAACCTGAACTTCTCCGCAAGCTTCGTATCCAACCGATATATCGTCATCTTCGATCTAAAATAACAATAGCTGATTTTCAGATAAGCTTACGGTGCTTGGGTCAAAAATCCGCATTTTTTCGATTTCGGACTCGGTCAGCTTCCGTGGAGACTTTTGCGGTCGAATACGCTAAAATCGCGATTTTGAGGAATTATGCATACCACTCACGTCAATGAAATCTGCAACCCTCTGGGCCGTTTTGCGGCATGCAGGCGCGATCTTTGACTGAAAGCCGAATAGGGGCCCCTTTGGACCAGGAATCCTAAAGATACCAGGTAATGTCAGGTAATTTTTTTAAACTTGGGCAGCTCGTTCGAAAATAACTGTTTCAGACCTCAGAGCTTTAGGCCGCGTTTTCTCGGTTGGGAATTCGAATTGTTTTCTGATGATAAGGGTTCCACTAAAATTCGTTTAATGTTTTTGGTGAGTAACCAACTCCTCAAGACGAACTTCTCCCGGCCGATCCACTGGCCGCGGCTGAGCCCGTTGGCTCGGCCCTGGTGTGGGTGTCACCATCGGCTGAGGGGAAGTTTTTCTGGGATCGTCGTCTAGGATTCGAACTATGTCTTGTTAAAGGGAAAAGGACGGCATAAGTCAATCGATTATGCGCGGCAAAGACAATGTCTCCTCTCTCGCCTCTCCCCTGGGCGCTCTCTGCCCGTTGGCTATTTGCCAAAAAATTTAAGCCTGGCCTCCCAAGGGGGTACAACGGATGCCGTGCTTATCTATTTAAGAAAATATACCCCCATATTGGTGGCAGCCGTCCAAGCCTGGTCTCTCCAACCCACGCTCAGCCTCCATGGCTAAAACAGATTACTAAAAAGCATACAACGAAAATATACCTTGCTCTGCTTCCTTTCGGGCTTTGGCCAACGCAATCTCCATATCGGGATAGGGACAGCGTTTGTGGGGCTTTATGTACGGTTTCACGGGGGTTAGCACTGCCTCCCGCCTTGAAGCCAACGCCATATCTATTTCGGCTTTCATTTTGGAGCTCTTCGACTCGCGCTTATTGGATTTCCAATCATAGATTTCTGGGTCTTGCCGTTCCATGATGCGCCTAAAAATTGACCTTCAATCCATGCACAAACAGCATTTTGGTTCGTTTCCTGGGGTGTATTCCCCCGCCTCATCCAACACACCCCACATAAGCCCTCAGGAAAGCTAGTATTGTACTTACTAGTTAGGGTGGTGGGTGAATAAAAATGCGCACCTACGCTCCTCTTCTCGAAAGGCAAGATAGGACGGATCTTCACGAGGGATGTGTTCACTCGGCTGACAAAGAACATACATAAGAAGAAATATTGCTTACCTTTCTATCCTCCCACGCCCAGTTATAACATCGGCCCCCATAAATATCGGGTTTGCTCCGTCCGGCTGTATCATAGTTTGGGCCCAGCGCCTCCTAGGTAAAGCTATGAGTCAATAATCATGTAGTTCCGGTAAGTGAAAAGACTTTCCACCAACCAGTCCCTCCGTTTTTAGATCATGCCGCCAGTCATAAGAGCAGGACGGTCCCGGCGATCTCGTTCGACTTGGTTGGGCCTTTACCGTGTTAGGTGACGTCTAAGATATGCTGTTTCTCACCTGCTCAAACCTTTCATTCGGGGGATTGGATCCCCGTGCGGAGATTTCTAGGCTGCGACCCAGAGAAGACGCCGGCGCCTCTTGTTGCTTCTGAATGGCCTCCTGAAACTCAGAACCTCCAATCCGATTTTCACATACGTCTCTGATAAGAATGCAGCCGATAAATTACCGTGTATGGAGCCAGGGGAGGATCAGTCCGCCCCAAATTGCCGGCGGCGCGACGGACTATGATGGGGCTTGCCGTCTGATTACTGACGGCGTACTCCGGGCCGCTGAACAATTCCGTCAATTTCTTGACCACTCCACTCTGTGGTAGATCGGACATCTTATCTTAAATGCCTCTATCTTTTATGAAGGGCAAGAGAAGTCAGAGAAGCAAGTGACCCAGAAAATAAATAAAATTTACCTAAAATTTAACTGAAATCTTACTAGATCGAGAAAAAAAAACACGGACCCGAAATTGGGGTGTTTACCCCAAAAACCATCGGGAGAAGCCCAACCGATCGCCACAAAGACAGCCAGCTCAACGCGACGCTGGTCTGCACCCCCCCCCCCCCCAATGGCTTTGGGGCCCAGTCCTTCCTGCCAAAACAGAGATCGTATCTTCCCTGAGAAACAGAAAAGTCTCGCAAAACCTCCGAATTTGACGAAACTATTTTGCCAGTTTGTACAAATACGAATGGAAAAAGATAATTTAAATGTGTGACTTAGCAATAGAAGAGAAAAACACGTGAAGAAACAAAAATTGCATAACTATAAAAAAAATTATAGATAAACATAGAATGTATAAAAATGCTGGGTGATGTTGGGGCACCTCTAGGAATGTCTGGATGGAACATGACCAGTTAACCTAAAACCTTTTGGCACCCTAGAGCGCGCCCCAAATGGGCTACGGTAGAAATACGAAATTCACGCTTTTTGCTGCTTTTTCGTCTTGGAATCGTTCGTATGTTCTTGGATAATCGAAGATGGGACATTGCCGACCCGTTCCTAACAAAATTTTAAGCGTTCGAGGAAGAATTAACGACCTACACAGACCTACAGTATCCCTCCGGTGCACGTTTTATCAAGCAATAGAAAAATACCATAGAATCAGGTGAAAATTGGTGTTGTGCCAAAGATTATCATCCGGAGACACCATTTACAAAAGATCAGCCACATGCAGCGGATTTGAAGGGAGTTGCGAATTAAAATGTAAAAAAATGCCGAATAGTGAAATTTGTTTTGTTTGTAAAAAAAGAATTAGAGCTTGAAAAATTCTAAGACTTGGCCATTATCTTTATAAAAATCTCAACTATTTTAGGGCCAAAAATCAGAATTTTCCCACCACCCAATCAAGAACGCACAATTTTCGGTCGTAACCAGCGTCAATAGTACAGTTGCGTACTCAAAAATCGAAAAAATCAAGTTGAGTTATTTCCCTATTCCTGACATATTTAAGCATTCTGGCATGGTAACGCACGGTGAAATATCTTTCCTTCTCTAGATAATTGGGGACAAACTACGGCACTTTTTTTTGCCCCACCCTGTATCGATCAGGTTAGGATGATTTGCCCAGCACGCGCACTGCCTGTAAGTTCGATACAACAACTCGCATTAATAGATTCATTGGCTATTGTAATAACAAAATAAACTTTCAGGTGACTGATATTCCCTTAACCTGATGATGGCGGCGGTCGCCGACTCGATGAGCAATGGTGAGTCCGGGTAAGTCAAGTAACATCGTAAGAGTGAAAAAGAAATTCATAGCCTTTTGGAAGCACAAATTTCTCGTCAGATTCAGGCGTGCAGCCCGCTGAAAATTAAATAAGTGAAGCTAAAATTCAAAACAGTACGCAAAATAACCGATATTTCAGGCTACGCGGCCTTGGTCACCAGTTCCAGCTTGGTACGGATCACGAAACTTAGGAAGAAACCACTGAATACTACTCGAAATTAGATATACTAATAATATAAACCGTTAATAATCAATAAGGCTGCGATAGCGGCGAATCCCGGCGAGGTAACGGCCTTTCGCCGCCCGGCCGCCGCTGCTCGCCGGTCGCCTGGCGTCGGAAACCCGGGAAGTTCCCCTCTGTGTTGCGCCGGTAACAACAAATAAAAAGGCTTACAACAGCTGCTTTTCAAGGGAATTGCTCTTTTTGTCGGAATTTCAGATCAAACCCTAGCGAAACTGCGCCCCAATTTTCTTGAATATTTTTTGGCGATGAGTTGAACTCCGCGGAGTCGTCGTAAAACGCGAAAAAACAGCAGCGCTGTGGGGTAGCGGTCATCCAAGATTGGTAGATGGAATAAATAGCTCTTGTAAAGTTGATAAAATACCTGAATTCATTTCAGATTCACTAAAGCCCGTTGAGCTCTATAACATGTGATGTGAGAGGACGTTCAGGCCGCTAAAGCTCTATTTATTCGAGGCCCCACCCAGCGCGATACATTCGGAATCCAGTTGGGAATATTCGAGACATATTTCGAGGTGTATAAGGGGTGAACAAAGGGGCTTTTTCGGTGAAACAAAGTGTGAAAAGCCATTCAGCGCGACGTCTACGCACCACAGCCAGTCCGATCTGCATCTCGTCTGTTGATGGTCGTGGCATATTTCGAAGAAGATGATCACGCATCGCTTTCATATCCTGAAAAAACCTTTATATCGATTGTTTTTCTCTCTTTTAATCGTCTCTATAGACTTACAGCCTTTTTCCGGAGTACAATGGTGAATGTGACGATCATCGTACGGCTTTTATTCGGAGCTAGGGGATGCTAAAATGAATGTCTAATATTTCTAGAGCTCTCTCTCTCTCTCTCTCTCTTTCTCTCTCTCTCTCACTCTCTCCCTTACCTGCCGTGCCCATTTCTCAAATGTTTCAAAGATTCGTAATGAATTGTCCGCATGGTATACACCGTCCCATTGGAAAAGCACTATCTCGGGTTCAGCGTCTTCCAGCTAAATATATAGAATTGCGGAGGTGGAACCCCGTGCAAGCATTTCCCTAGCAATCAAACCTAAAGCGTTCCTTTTAATCCTTTTAATAGAATTTAGGGCCCTAGTAGAGCAGAGATTACCACCGGGCAGGGCCATTTCACAGTTCTTTTGACGCTTCTTGCACTTTTTATGAAACCTTTGTTTTTTACGCAATGTTTGTCGAAAATTCGCTGCTTTCCTCAGAAATGTGTGAATTTTCGTTAGTATTTAGGGCAAATACAAGCATTATCAAACCGCTGATGACCCTGCCCCGGCCGAAACAACTCTGCGTATTCCACTCATTAAACCGTCGAGTTTTAAAGGGTTTTTTTCCGAACGAGCATTTGCTGAGATGTCGGTGGCTGACGTAGACAAACTTTAGAAAATTATTGAAAAGTATCCAAGAAAACAAAAGCCAATTTTCTTGGCTTACGATCGCCAAAAAGCTCACGATATTGAAAAGGCTCCTCGTTTCCCGTAGCCAACAATTCATATCACGATAATGCCTATCGTCGATGCAACGCCTCGCAAAGATGGCTGCCTGAAAAGGGATTTTATTCCTGAAAATCTATCGTATCTATCAGTAAAAAGCGCAAAACAAACAATATGTTTCAAAGAGAAACCGCGGCTCTTCAGCCATGCCAATTGAATAACGGCCAATTCCGGGCATGCTTTCACCAGAACCGAATATGGATTGGATGCGAGCAGGGAAAGACCTTCTAACGGAACCATCAAATCCTGAAAATTTCCTTTAAAATTGTAAATCATTTTTATTTTGACGCCTATGGCTAATCCATAAGGTTCCATTTTTCGAGTGTTGTCAATAGTTTTTGACCGAGAAAAGTCATGTAAAATAGACTACAGACCGAAAATTTCGACCCCGTTTTTCACCAAAAAGTCAAAAATGGTAATAATAGAACAATGACACAAATAAAGATGGATAAAGAACATACGGCATGGCGAGTTTGTGGCCATACATACAATCCAACAGCGCCCGACGTCACTCCGCGTAGAAAATGATTGAAGATGGCTATCGCTCGTTCGGCATTGCATCCAACCATTGTGATACCGATCTTTTTGCCGCGAGTCCTGTCAAATGTCAGAAATGATGGTTCTGGGCTGTTAGCGGGGGGACCAAGTTCTTGCTTGTGATTCTCTACGGTCTTATAACGAGGCCTTATACACAGGTCCGTGCATCCACCCGAAATCCCGCTCGGATCCACCCGGTTTCCACTCGATTTCCATGTGTTCCACCCGTAATCGACTCGATTTCCAGCCTGCATCCGCCCCGAATCCACTCGATTTCCGTGTGGAATTCCCCTCGCATCCCCTCCGGGATTCCGAGTGGATTTCGGGTGGATGCACAGACTGGTGTAAATAGGCCGCTTCGTGACCCTTTTGAAGTCAAGCTGTAAAGTGTCATATCTCGAGATAGAAGTGTTTCCGAAAACTTTTTTGAATTGATCCTGAATCAGGTCGACGTGCGGGGAGCATTACATGAAATCTGGGGGGCCATGGCTCCTTCTCCATCCCTGAGGAGCATTTCGATTCAACGCTCGACATGTGTTGTAATAGAAGCGACAGCGTGATGAGACGCCCAGCCAAATCAACCTCAGCTCTCCACAACGTGTCTCACACCAAACACTCAGCCTCTGTAATTTGTAGTCAAAATATTCGGTTCTTTCGCATTATCGGGGGGGTGGGAATTCCTCTTACTTTAGGAACCTTTTTTTAATATAAATGGTGGAAGTGTTTCTAAACTTTTTGCGCTTCCTAAACTTTACACATTACGTAAATACTTTACAAATTTTTATTAAAAAAAATCCAAAATATCGATTTTCGACCAAAATGACACTGTCTCGCCAAAATTTCCGGTTTTTGAAATTCTATACTTTGTATTAAGTGTCAAGGGATTTCGGGAATAATACGAAACCCTCCCGCCCCCCGATAATGCGAAAGAACCATCTATCGATTGCTTACCTGTTTTCTGGCAGAGATCAGGATGTCATCAACATATCTTGACGCCGGCCAATAATCATTTTTGTTTCGGCATACCTAAGGTTTAATGGTGCTGGATTTTTAGCGGGGGGGGGGCAAACATTCACAACAATTCTTTATGGCCCTACAACTAAAAATAACTCATTTTATAGTATAGCAAAATTCTCAAAATTTTTGGTTGCAGGTGAAAAATTAATGAAAATATCCGAAATATGATTTTTGTAACTTTGAAAAATGACTCAAAACATTGCTAAAATACATTATTAATATTATCAGAATCTATTGATTAGTTTCCCCCCCCCGCTAAGCATACAGTACCGATACTTGAAGATACCTTTTTGGTGGCAGCTCTGAGATGATGCTTCTCC